GTTAGATTTAAAAATTCTTATATAAATTTTATTTGCTTTAATTATTATGGCCTAAAACAAGATGTATAGGTAGTAACTACAAAGGATTTAATTATTGTGGTACGCGCTGTTGCACACAGTTCTTTTACATTTTTTAAGCAATTGTTTTTTTTTAGAATTTAAAACGAGTAGTATAATTATAAAATGCATTGCATGCTTTAAATGTTCAGCGATCCGCAATTTCAAATATGTATATTTAAAGATGTATTATGTTCCCATACTCCATAATACTAATATATTCCTATACTATTTTAAATGTATACAATGTTAATGCCCACAAAACAAACAAACTGCAATTACAATATCATACACGCTTTCAAAAGCACACACTTAAACGAATTACATTTTTATTAACATTTACTAACGTAATCATTTTATGTATTAGCTTCGATGTGGAGTTGAAAAGTTATTGTGTTTACAATGATGTGTTCTTGTTTATTTGTTTTTTTGTGTCTGCATCTACGATATTTGTTAAACTGCTGAACCGATTTCTTTATGTAGCAAGTCTATAGGTCAGAAATCATACATGAAAGGTACTTTAATAGACAAAAAACTAAAAAAGTTGACCCCTTCCCGTTAAAAATTGTGAAGAAAACCCAAAAAACGTACATCTTTTACCCGTATAAAATTAAAGCGCTCTATGACTTTTTGAAAAATAGTCAATTTTGTATCAAATGTTTTAAGGAGTAGGTAGGTATTCTTTAGATATAGTACTACCAATAAATATTGACAAAACAAAAAAAAAATTATAAATATAGAAGGAGTGGATAGTTTTTGTTTTTACAATGATGTGTTTTAATTTTTTTTTATTTTTGTGTCTGGACCCACGATATCTTGTAAACCGCTGAACCGATTTCTTCATGTAGCAACTCTATAGATTAGAAATCATACCTGGAAGGTACTTTATTGGACCAAAAATTAAAAAAAGTCACTCCTTCTCCATCAAAATCGAGAAAAACACATAAAAAATTTACAAATTTTTCAACTTAAAATTACGATGCTCTATAACTTTTTTAAAAATAGTCGAAAATGTTCCAAATTTATATGAATTGTTCTTCAAACATAGTACTATCGATAAACATTAACAAACCAAAAAAATATCATAAACCCTTCCCTTAGAAGGGATAGAATTTTTTTCTTTATTTCACTTTTTCAAGCTAAGTCTTAAAGATTTAGATCTGAAAAAAATACCAAAGGTAGATCTAAAACGAAACTATAACATATACAATTTTCTCAAAAATCTGTAGTCAAATTTTTTTTTTATTAAGGAAAAACCACAAAAATAGGGTAAATTTACACTTTGGCCGTAGTCAGTTTCTAGGTTGGTATGTGTGTGTGAATCAACAGTCAACAGGTAATGAAAATATTTTCATTAGATTGTTAATTACGATATATGGGTAACTATGACAGTACATTTTTATAGACAGACGATCAACCCTTATCGTATCCACCCTGCACAAGACTAAATATTAAATTTTAAGTACATTATTGCTGGTCCCACGATATCTTCTAAGCCACTATAACTAGTTTGAACATACTATGCACAGATTCGCATCGGAGCGTTTATTTAAAAGTGATTTTATCACTTTCAGTTATAATAAAATTTGCAGACCTGTGACCTCTCCGTCCCCACTGTACTGTTTATTTTTTGAGTGAAGTTTATGGACTTAATGTCCATATTATGTAGATCTAAAATGGGGCTATAACATATACAATATTCTCAAATATCTGTTGAGTTTTGTGGAGGTCGTGTGAATATTATTATTGTATGCTTCAACAGCATATTATGATTTCAACTCTCAATAATAAATAATATCAATGTGCTTAAACTTTCATGGATTGAAGTATTACTTTGATTATTCTCGGATTTTTCCATGTTGTCATTATTTGGCTGACGTTTCGAACCCATTACAGAGTCCATCTTCAGATCTATAGTCACCTTTTCAAACCAACTGTTTAAACAGACATTTTAAGTAACGTAAAAAGCTTGAACGATTTTTAGCAAACGAATGTGGTATATTAATTTGACATTTTACATTTTTCTTTGATTTCTTTTTATGAAATAACAAGTAAAGAGTGTAAAAGTTATTCGTTTTGTCGCTCAGTTAAGTTTTAGTTTTTAGTAGTTAGATACAATATGGCCTTCAAGCTCAGTATTTTGATACTATCTTTTATCATAGTTGCAAATTCTGTATCGGCACAAACTGAAAATAAAGTAATATTTGATATTATATTTAGATTATTATTAAGAAACTATAAGTTTTTGTCATTTTTTTGCTAGATTAGTTTTAATATACAGCTGATTAACTTAAATAAAATAGGTACTCAACATGTTTTCCTATGAAATAATTATTTTTTAGCTCGTTGATTCTCAATTAAATATTTACCATATTCGTGTATATTAAACAAATAATATAAACAAAACTGCTATTACAATTGAAACACTGTAAATTAGTTAAAAAACGGTCAGAAAAAATTTTTAGGCATGATTTTTTTTAGAATAAAGCAACTACGACGTTTAATTTTATACTTTAAAACAAGGGTTGTTTTAAACTTTTTTTTGATGTGTAAAATAATTGTCCGATTTTGTTTTATATTATTTCTAGTCTTTTCAAATTTAAATTTTATAATCCAGCGACACGATAGTGGCGCGGAGCCAAGTAAATAAGGAAAATACGGTATCAGTGGATTGGGAAAGTTTTGTGGATGCGTTGATCAAGATGTTACATACTGACTAATTCAGTAATTCAAAAACCTCATTTTAAAATCAGAACAACATTTAAGCGTAATTCAGTAAAACAATCAGAAAGATATAGCATCATCAGTTTTTTAATGTGTAAAATTAAACGTTGTAGTTGCTTTATTCTAAAAAAAATCATGCCTAAAAATGTATTCTGATCGTTTTTTTAACTAATTTACAGTGTTTCAATTGTAATAGCAGTTTTTTAATATTATTTGTTTAATATACACAAATATGGTAAATATTCAATTGAGAATCAATGAGTTAAAAAATAATAATTTTATAGGAAAACATGTAGAGTACCTATTTACATGAATCAATTGATTCGCTAGTTTAGCAGTGTTTTTTTAACGGAGGCGATAACCGCATGGAGCGGTGGAGGTACAAAAGTTTACCTGTTTTAAGTAAAGTAAATTATATGGAAATAGCATGGTTATATTAAATTCGCCTCTTATTATTTTTAGTTATGCGCCGCTCTTTTGAATAGTCTTGTAAGCTAATTAGGATTATGAATGTTATATACTTGTCCCCGGAGATTCAATGTACTCAGGACGTGTTTATCATTTATTATCGATAATAGTTATGATAATCAGTGCTCGAATTGGAACAAAAATTGAGGACGGACGCTGGTTTTAGTACAGAGAACACCGTTCCATAGCAGATAAATTGTATAGTAACGGAGGACTTCGGCACCCGCACTCCTTACACATATAGTAAATTAAATAATGAACACAACAACAAAGTTATTTTACATTTTCTTTACAAGAATGAAATTTCGGAAAATTCTTTACACGACTTTTTACTCCTTGATTTCAAAAGCAATTTTGCATTTGAAATTCATTTTGGTAACTATTTTGTCCATCTCTAATAATATATTAGTTAATAAAAATTAATAATCACAATAGTTATTATTGTATTATCAGTTATGTGTACATCTTCTTAAGGCTATTGAGTACCGGCAAATTTTTCCGTCAAAAACTACCCATTTTACTTTAATCGGTCCGATCATTGTATTGAAGCGATAAGACCTCTGAAAACAGATTTAAATTCGGCATGAAGTCTACTTGAGATCGGTCAGAGTATTTTTTTTATTTTTATTTTAACCCTTACCAAATTTGATTTTAGTTTTTTTTTTAAATTTGAGTTGACATTATATTGAAATAAAAGTAATATATTTAAAGTGACAAAGTCACTAAACAGTTAAAACAGTTGTAACAAGTAAAGGTAGGTAAAACTGACACGATTATTACTAAAAATTGATTTCCAAGTTATCATCGACCGTCGTCCGTCGATTTTTTTTAAACAACACAGCGACTGATGCTATTATTATTATATTTTTGGCGGCCGACCTCCGAGTGCCGTTCTGTGGTAAGGTCTATTGAAAGGGTGGGAAGAGGAGTTATCATAGTCATAATATTTTTCTTTATCCAGCGTTACAGTATACACTACTACTGTAAGGCTAAGTATAAATAAATAAAAACGATTAAATATCGATGATATACTTAATACTGGGGAAAAAATGTGAACGATAAAAAAAAGATTCCTGTAGCCAGAACTATGTATATAGGGTAATATGTATGTAGCTATAATATTAATGGTACCGTCTCGATTGTCGTCGACGATACTGTTTTCTGGGAAATAATAAGTAATAACCATTACTTTGCTAGAAATAAAAGAATTTAAATCCAAATAAACCGTTTAAAAGTAGACATCCGTCGAGGGGACGCGTTTTTAGCGTTCCTCGCTTAATTAAATGAAGGGGAACGCTGAAATCTATGAAAAAATGAAAGCGGACTTCCCCCCTGCGCCCCCCCCCCAATTCGAGCACTAATGGTAATTATGGTTGATGATAAATATATGATAGGTGTAAATTATAATATATATTAATTAAGAATTATATGATATTACAAATACATATATCGGTATAGTGTTAAAATTGTTCAAAATTATTTTCAAGAAAATCCTAAAAAACGCATTTACACATCTGTGCATTATTATATCTACATGTTTGTATGATTTTTATACAAAAAATATTAAACTGTTCAAATAGACGTTTAAAATAAAGACAAAGCGTGAACAATGTTTTAGCTAACAAATGTGGTATTTTTATTTAATATTTTACACTTTTGTTTCGTTTTTTTATATGAAGTGGCAAGTATAGAGTGTAAAACCTATTCATTTTGTTGCTCAGTTAATTATCAGTTTATACTAGTTACATACAATGGCCTTCAAGTTTAGTATTTTGATACTATCTTTTATCATAGTGGTTAATTTTGTGCCGGGACATACTGAAAAAAAAGTAATATTTTAAATTATATTGAGACTATTATTTGGCAACTACAAGTTTTTTTTTCATTGTTTTGCTAGATTATTTTTAATAAACAGGTCAACTTTCAGTAAATTATTCAACAGTAATTTGTTTCTATGAAATTAATATTTTTTTAGCTCGTTGATTATTAATTAAATATTCATCATATTCATGTATATTACACAAACAATATTAGCAAACGTGATATTACAATTTAAACACTAGAATCAGGCAACTTAACGTTTCATTTTACACATTTAAAAAGATATTGTCATAAACTTTTTTTTTTACTGTGTAAACTAACTGTCCCATTTTGTTTTAGTTTTACATTATTCTCTAGTATTTTCAAATTAAAATTATATAAATAGTATTATCATGAAGTAAAATATAATACAAATAACAAAAAAACTTTTCAGGCTATAAAAGAAGCTTACCTTTTTGCTCTAGATGGAAACGATGATAGAAAAGGTTTAAATGAATCCCAATTGATAGCATTTTTGGGTGCAAATAATTTACAATTTGTAAAAGACTATTGGAGAAAGAATTCAGTTCCACCAAAAAAACAAAGTAACCAATAAATATACTTACGTACTTAATAAATATACGTATCATTTTATGTTAAGTTTATATATATATAATTTAATATATTTACTAATCTGTACATAATTTTCAATATATTAGACAAAACAATTTGTTATCCAACTTAATGTTACCAGTTACAGTAAACTGTAAAATGTAAATGAAAACGAAAAAAATGATTAATAAACAAAAAAAATAATTAATTTTAGCTAAAAGTTGTTTTTTGATCAATTCTCTCATAGCTGTATGTTATTTTTTTTATCGGTTGTCTCTAAAAATATTGTTTTAATATTCTTGACTACTGTTCACTTGCTTTACATATTATTAAAATTTAAATTCATCATACATCATGATTTTTTTAATAAAAATACATTTGTTGAATTATTTTGTAGATAAAATATCCGTGAAGAAATTTAAGAACATTGTGTATTGGATTTGCAAAAAAAATGGGTTTGATGTTAAAAACTTCCTTGAGTCTATGCAAAGTACAGCATTAACACCTAGAGTAATGTAGCTATAGATATAATATCATATTAGTTTTGTTTAATTTATATTGTAATATTATTAGACATATTGCATCTTTAAATGATATTAATATAATACCATTTAGAATAGATTGTTGTATAAAATCTTATGATAATTCTTATAAATATTCTATCAGATTTGTTCTGTCAGTTTAATATTGAGTCTAGTCTATACAATTCTAAATTTATTCTTAGTTTTTTATGAAAAAATTAATTAATCAATGAAATCAAATAATATAGTTAATTTAGTGAAATTTACTTTACAGGTTTTAAGAAAATCTTATGATTTTGTTCGTGAACATTATGATTTTGGTTTTTGTAAGTCCGAATTTTTAGATTTTGCAGGTAAAGATGAAAATTTAGAATGTGTAAAAGAATATTGGAGAGAGAATTCAGTTTCATTAGGAGACCAAGGTAACCATTATATATACTGAACGTGTCACTTTATGTAAATTTTAAAATAAATATTTATTATAAAAATAACTTGTTATAATAATTTAAAGTTGAAACTCAAAAAGCCTGGCAATATTTATCCAACATTTACCAATACTTAGGGTGAGCGCGGGTGTTATTTCAATTTTAGTACTAATTTATATTAGTACAAAATCTAAACTCCATTAAAATACCTGATTTTCTTTGAAATAATATACTGGAATAAAAAAAACAATGTTAAATTACTCAAAAGTTTATATTTTTAGTTAAAAATATTATATACAATTAATAAAAAAAATTGTAAAAAAGCATAACTAAGAGAAATTTCTAATTGGACAAAACATATTTTCTTAATTTTTATTTTAAAGCACATTGTTTTTTTTTACACGTAGGTGTTTCTACAAAATATTTTTTATGCCATTTTTATTTTAATATTTTTGACAACTGTTCACTTGCTGTCTATATTGTGAAATTTTTTAAGTGCTATTAATTTATTAATTAATTATACATTTTTTGTTTTTAGATGAAATAATGCCAGACGAATTTATGAACCTCGTGTATTGGATTTGCAAAAAACAAGGGTATTCTGTACAAGAATTCCTTGACATGAGCATGCGAAATATGATTGTAGCAGCTGAAGTAATCTAGCTTTAGATATAATATCATATTCATTATGTTTAGTTTATCATTAGTCGTTACGGGATTGAAAACGTTACCAAGCCAAGTTATGCACTATTTGTTGAAAATGATTAGTAGTATGATAATAGAATAAACTATTTTTTTATTAATATGAAAAATAATTTGCCGATTTTGTTTTAGTTTAATATTGTTCTCCAGTCTATTAATATATTAATGTTATATAAGTATTTTAATGAAATAAAATATTATAAAATGAACAATAAAACTTTTCAGGTCATACACAAAGCTTACAATTTCACTCTAGAGAAATACAATGGCGGAGAAGGAATTGGTGAATTCCAGTTTATAGAATTTTTGGGTGCTAATAATTCACAATATGTAAAAGAATATTGGAGAAAAAATTCAGTTCCACCAAAAGATCAAGGTAACTATTATATATACGTTTGTATCATTTAATAATAATTTAAAAATAACTATTTTGTTTAAAAGAAAAAATTTCAAAATAATTGAAATTTAAGACAAAAAAAAACCGGCAATATTTATTGAAGTTAGGTATTATTTTAATTTTTGTACCATCTTAATTCTTATCGTATATGATTTATAATTGATATAAGATGTTATCTGACACAATAATAACAAAAAATAATATCTTCGAACATTAAAATAAAAAAATATTCTTTTGAAAACCAGTACAATATTTTAGTGTTATACAATAGAACAACCGGAAAACCATAGCATCTACGCTGAAAACATCTATATACATAACTTGGCGATATTATTTAGATTTTTACAAATAGTTACAGCAACATTATTGATAGTGTTCGTCATCAACACTCAGTGATCTGTAAAATGTAAACTATTGCGAAATAAAAATGTATAATTTAATATATTTACTAGTCTATATAGAATGTTCAGTATATTAGACAAAAAAAATGTTATCCAACTTAATGTTACAGTTATTTTTTTAATGAAATAACATGCTTGTTTTTTTAGCATGGAACATGATTTTGCCTTGGCCCCCAGCTCGAAAACGACACAAAATAGCCCCACGAAAGTAGCGCAAAATTGGTCCGATCTAGTGGTTAGATATCCGGAGAAATATAACCAATGGAGGACAGAAGAGAAAAAAGTAATTTACGGCTGGGAAGGTGAGGGGGACAGTTGAAAAGGATATGGGAAATGTCAACATTTCATCTCAGGTAGGTGCAAAGGACAAAGAGGGGCAGAATTAAGTGAGAGACGATAGTTCCATTCCGGAAGGGTACCAGATTATGACCGGTGCTAGGTGATAAGGTGTCTAGGGATATTCAGCCCCAGAACCACGAGCGAGTTGTAATAGCAGGTGAATTATTTCTATGCCAAGAAGCATAGTTAAGTAGAAGGGTGGACCATTTGGTTTGCTATGTACGATTTAAAGCGAACGGTGCTTAGAAAGCGAACCGGATGAAGAAATTTTAAAATGAGAGGAGTGCAAGGAAAATTTTGTAGCAAAGGCAAGACGATCGGCAATTTCATTACCTAAAATTCCGACATGGTTTGGAATCCAAAAGAACCTTACAAATTTACTATCAAGACTTGAGTCGATAGACAAGAGATTTGATTAGGAGGACAAGAGGAGATAATGAGGAGTTAAATGGATTGGAAGAAATAGCTAGAAGGCAAGATTGCGAATCATAACCCCTGAGGATATTGTATTGATCAAGGGAAAAAATAAATTGCAAGGCACCTATGATAGGATAACATTCGGCGGTGAAAGATAAAGAGAGGGCAACTAATTTGTCAGCAAAGGAAACTTTTAGAGCTGGAATGAAAAAGGAAAAAACTGACGATCTGAGAGAGACAGAACCGTCGCGTCGGTGAAACAAGTAAATAGTTGGGGAAATTTGATGAAATATAACCATTAAACAGAGAAACAACTAAAGAATGGGGCAAACGGGAAAGTTCCTCAGAAGTATAATTAAAAAAGTTAGAAAAAATGGTAATCTCTGGCATGTTCGTAAGTGCAGGAAATGGTGTATCATAGATCTGCAGACAAAGACTTGAACGGTAGGTTATTGGAGAGAAGGGAGCAAAAGAAGAGGCGATAGAAGCGGGTATATATCTCCAATTAAGTAAAATTAAGACTATACTATCATCATATATCACAAGGAGATTATAGATCGGAAATAATCATTATTCAAGAGCTATCAGACCAAAGCATGTTCCATGTTTTATAATTTTAGCCGTGAGGCTCTAAGTAGACTGTAACTATTTAAATTCGGAGGTTTCTAAAAAATATTTTTTGTGCCATATTTATTAAAATATTCTCGAATACTGTTCACCTGCTGTCTATTTTAAACAAATTTAAGTAGATTATGATTTTTCTAACAAAATTACTTTTTTTTTGTCTTCTTTTGTAGATATGATATATTTTAAGGAATTCAAGACAATCGTATATGCGATTTGTACCCAACGGGGTTTTTTTGTATTTGACTTTCTCGACAAGCGAATGAAAGTAGCAACAAAAGATCCCAGTCTAGCTGTAGAAATTAGTATTGTTTAATTTATACTGCAATGTCAATGGATAAGAAATTCATGATACTTTTAAATATTAAAGATATTACTTTGATACAATTATACACGTCGTATTATCTTTTTTTTATTAAATAAATCTATCACACACACACACACACACTGGTATAGTGTGGAAGTTATCTTACTTGTATATTTGTATGCATTATGAATTTTAATATAAGATAAAGAATGACTTTTACATAATACATAATCAAGGCCGGTGATCGTCTGTATGTTTGCGTGTTGTACATAATGATTCTTAAATCCTTAAATAAATTACTTAAATGAATTCCTTAAAAAAATGTTGCGCTTGTACATTCTTGTTTGTGTGTAGGAACCCTGCTTTGTCGTGGCTCAAACGTTAGTCTTGATCGCAAACGTTTTCGAGCAGTTAGTTCAAGGTATGTACCGGTTTTTATGTCTTCAAAATATAATCTATAGTTTGCCACATTTAAAGTGTAAAACCTACCCTTAATTTTGTCGAACCGTGTAATTTATTAGCTACCGAAATATTGCACGCGCTCTATCAGTAAAAGCGGCAACTAATAACAAGCGCAGCTTAAATTCATTAACATCGTTTCTCTACATAATATATTTTACTCAATGATAATATTAAATACCTACCAAAGACTGTGCGTTTGAAAATTTTGGCTGTTGCCAATTGACTGAGGTAGGTTTATCATCGATTTTAATAGCGGTCAAGTCTCTAGGAAGCGTAGCTAGTTTGGTGTAGTTCTCAGCATGCTCACTCTCCAATTCACCCTACGAGTACATACATTCGGTTAATGTTGCAACAGTACTTGTGATAATGTCAGAAAGTATATTATTATATCAGTATAAATTGTATTTTGTAATATAATATATTGATTTTTTGTGCTACTTTTAAAAACAATAAACGACTTATTATAATCCATATTGTCTCAATAAATCTGTGGTACTCGGGTATAAGGTCTTATGTCCAAAAATTGCGAAATGTGGTCTAATAAGAGGGATGAATTGTTTTTTTTTCTCTTGTAAAAGTATATTACCGAAATTAGTTATTTTGAACATAAGACCTTTTGCCCAAGCACCACCCAATTACTAGTACTATTTTTATACTGGTTAAATAACTATGTTTGCTAATTTTCATTCATTTGTTTTCAATATTAAACGAAGTACGAACTATGACTACAGATTAGATAAATTTTGGATATGATTCATGGTGATTCTACATATATCTTGACAAACAATCGAAAACCCAGAAAATTTCTTTAACACTCTTCTCCCTCCCAGAAAGCAATGTAACTCTTTTTCCTTTTTTAGGAGCTGGTTTTTGCATACCAATAATATTATTATGTAAAATAATATTGTACTATTGAGAAAGCTGGAAGTACCTATTGGCTTTTTGTTTTTATTTGTAGAGAACAAAATTAAATGTTACCCGATTTTACATGAAAATTGAGTAAAACATCACAACGGCAAATATCGTTAGTCGGCCCCGTATAGTTATGTGTTCGTCGTGTCCACGTCCTTTTCCTTGACCGTTGTAGTCATACCATGGCCATTGTCAAACAGATCACGTGCTTAGGGCAAAATTGCAGCCGTGCAACACGCACTATAATTCTTGTAGGTACAACTCGAATGCAATTGGCAAAATACACGCCACTGTTTTCCCTGCTCATTACAATCAGCAAACTGCAAAGACAAATCCGAATAAACTGCGCTCATACAAGAATAAACATAGTAACGTCGATATGTAAGTCTTGTTGAAGTCAGGGATTGGGGCGGAATGAACAATAACCTATTTAAGCGCTGGTATTAGAATGTACCGGTTTTGTGTTCTTTGTTTGAAAAAAATAAAACTTTTTTAACATTAACATTATAATTTATTGCAATTTACAACGACACCTACTGATATAATACTATCACAATACATGTAATTTTAATATATATAAATATATTAAAATTAGATAACTAGTTAGAGACCGGCATGGTAGCATAATAATGTATAGATATAATTATAATAGATAAACATCGAATGTATTTATCATAAGTATTTTATAAAACTATGTATATGCATAGAATAATACAATCGCTCTTTAAGTTATTAATATCTTAAATCATAATATTATTTTAAATAAATCGAAACGCATATACACTGAGCAAGTTACAAAGTACCGTTCTTATGATTCACCTTTTCCCTCTTTTACACCGATTAGTGAACAGAACCATTTCCGGGGACGCATACAAAAAGGGTCATCCGACCCCAACAACCATTTTTTTTACTTTACTTCACTTCTCATTTACTTACCATTTCTTACGCCCAGTCATTAGTCATACTTACCGGCTACTCACCGGTTTCATAGCTGATGAAGCATGTACCTATTGTTAGCGATTTCTGTTTTATTTATTTTTTTATTATTTGAAGGCTGAAGATTAACTTAGTGTGTCTGTAGAAAGATTAATAACATAAACAAAACATTGTATTTTCTTGCAATAGTCCAATAAAAGTTATCCAGTTACGATTCCTAGGAAGCCACAGTTGCAGCCCTAAGAATTCAACAATTGCATTTAGCGTACCTACTCGATACTGTCGGAAAATTTAACAATTATTGTAAAGTGTCTGGCAAGGAAAGATTTATATTTTGCGCAGTCGCCTAAGTCTGCCTAAGAACTACACTTCAAGAATGTAGCTGGACCAGAACATAGTACGTGGGAATAACATATCACAATAATATTAGAGTAATAATAGAATTAGAAGAAGTTAGGATATTTCAAAAACACACCCACATACACCTCACACCACAAACACTATTTTCTCCATCCTCCTACCATTTTCTTATAATTTATTATTATTACATAATAGGTATAGTAATATACAAACGAGAAATGACCGCCTCGTTTTTGTATCTCCTCCGTGTTAATTTTGATCATTGTTCTGGGCCTGGTAAAATTAGCTTATTCATTTTCTAATATAAATAATTCTAAAACGAATAAATAAAATTATTGTTTATAGTGTATATCGATGGTCTAGCGCACATATTATTTGTTAAGTGACATTTAGCAAATTGTTTAGTAGAAGCATTTGAAAGTTCACATTTAAATAAACCACAGTACATATCTCAAACAATAATGTCATCTAATGGATAAAATATTAAACAATTCACAAACAACATTTGCGCATCATATGAAAAAAAACATGGGACAGTTTTGACTTAAGGGGATTGCATGCGGTCGATTTTTTCAGTAAAAACAAAACATTTGTACTCCATTGCACAGGCCGAACCAGTGGTCCGATAAGCAATTTAAAAACAGATTTGAATTCGATAGGTCGGGGTACTTTTTTCAACTTATAATTTTAACCCTTTCCAAATTTGATTTTAAAATTTGAAATTTTATATAATGTCATAGACAAAATTATTTAAATTAAAAATAATACCATGGAGCTTATACAAATTAACTGGTAAATTAATTGACATGGTCGAAATTGATTAAAACCACTTTTTTTTTAAATATTGCCTATACAAAACTACTCAAAAACAAACCACATGCAATCCCCTTAACTAAAAAAAAAGCCAAAAATGTCACTTTTAACACATCTGTAAACTGTGCGCTAAACCATCAATATAAAATGGTTTAGCGCACAGACTTGACATTTGTTAAATTATAATCACAAAAATGGTCCGGACATTAAAGTTGACTAAACCACTGTAAAATCTTTACAAGACATAGTTATATCAACTTACTTTGAGAATATGTTTTACATTAAGTAAGGGGCCTCACACTAGCATTTATTAAGGCGTATTATATGGGCAATTTTTTACTAAAACTTTACATTAAGCTAAAATGTTTAAAGTTTAAACATATATATTACCATAGGAAATAAGGATCTATTTTGATATATATATTTTATTTTATTTTTATAACGCACGTAGGATCTATTTTTGTACCAACACATATCTTTCTACTATCTTCTTATGAAATACATAAATAAATAGTAAAATTCTGCTCTCTGCCCAACTTATATTTTGCTAACGTTTATGTTTTTATTACTATTTTATTGTGGTTTAATCAATTGTTATAAGTTAAACATTAATATAATGTAAATTGTAAAGCTAATGTAAACCTAAGTACCTAATAAGGGTCATCATCTAAGTATACTAGAGAGACTATTTCAAAAGCTAACCTGACTTGGTGTTAAAATGTTGGGTTAAGAAATAGTAATCAAGTTTGGTGCACAATTAGTATACTTGATATTTTAACAAGTTATCCAGTTACGATTCCCTAGGAAGCCACAGTTGCAGACCTAAGAATTCAACAATTGCATTTAGCGTACCTACTCGATACTGTCGGAAAATTTAACAATTATTGTAAAGTGTCTGGCAAGGAAAGCTTATATTTTGCGCAGTCGCCTTTAAATTAATCTGCCTAAGAACTACACTTCAAGAATGTAGCTGGACCAGAACATAGTACGTGGGAATAACATATCACAATAATATTAGAGTAATAATAGAATTAGAAGAAGTTAGGTTAAGTCAAAAGAATTGTCATTTCTACTAATTTACTCTTATAATATTGCTTAGGTTAGTGTACAATTAAATACATAGCGTAAATGGTGAATGGAAAAATGCTTATAAGTTAATAATAATATTATTAAATGTATTTATCTTTTTGTTTATATTTTTTACACCTTACATCGATTATTAAACATATGTGTAAATAAAATATAAAAACTAATTTATTAGATCAGCCTTATAAAATTGTTCAATATTTTTTACAAAAAAATGTTTGCACAAAAAAAAAAAGTTAAAAAATATAGAAATAAAATGAAGTTTGTCGAAACTACACTAAACTAATTAGTTATTTAATTACAAGTCAACATTTAATTCATTGAGTGATTCGACTTCAGGAACCGCTTCTGGCAAAGGGCAATACATATTAGAACAAAAATGTTCAATAAAATAATCACCACCCATTTCTTCATACATCTTAGGTGTAAACAAATATTTATCAATATCTTTTCTATTAGCAAACATTTTAGCACCAAACCAACCGTCCAGGGATGGATTTTGAGCCAAATAAACATTTATTTGAGACCCTATTGGCCTCATTTCTCTAAGTTCTCTACACATCCTATTTGTAAAACCTGGTAATTTTGCTGGTCCACCCGTAAGGAAAACATTTTTCACCAATTGACTCGCTGTTTCTGGATTCAATTTTTTCAACATGAATTCTATTGTATCTGTTATACCTCCTTGACCGCAGCCAATCATCGAAGGTTGGAATAAAACTTCGGCACATCTCATGCGCTCAATACCGAAGTGAAGTTGATGGGCTTCTTTAGGATTTAGTTCTTCATTTGCATTTGAGCTTACAAACGACGGATCGTAAAATCTTAATATATCTTCAAGCTCTGTGATTTTCTCTTGTTCTTCTTCACTATCGGTGTCACCACCTTCCTGCAAATATCAATTATAATTAGAATCGTTACTACAATGGTACGATAGAAACACACTTACTTTATTTATAACTTTGTAAACATCCCAGTCTTCATCTCTGCTACCAAAATCGTCATCTCTTTTGTCTTTCCTAGCTAATTGACTGATTATTCGCATGCGTTCTAAAGATGCAGCAGTACCTCTCTTGGCCATATCTTGTCTTCGTTGTTTTCGAACTGCTTTTCTATCTATTATGTCTTGCCTTTTTTTATAAACATTCTTGAGCCAGCTTTTCTCAACTGATTCGTCTTTTGGCAATTGAATTATATTTTTGAACAACCTCAGTTTAGGTTCTTCATTAATCGATTCATCAATACTGGGAGCATTGGACGCAGCAATTTTCGATTTTGTTCTATCAATTCTAGTTTGCAGATCAAATATCAGTTTCTTTAAATCTTTTTCGTTTTTCAATCCATGTGATCTCAACACCTCCTAGATACATAACAAATATTTAAAATTAATTTTTTATTTTAAATCCATCCTAGTGGAACGGGGAAAGTTGAGGTTGGAAAGCTCACAACTCTTCAGGAATTATATACTTGTAATATTATAGCTGAAAGTGATAAAATTAATTTCTAATAAACGCTTCAGTTTAAAATTTTTGAATTTTATAATGTGTAGCCTTAGGTTTTCATATATACAATTTATGTGACTACAAATTTTAAGTTTGAAAAACAAATGCTAGCATATATTATATTTCACTAAAATTAAGAATAATCTACTTATATTGTTATCAGCAGATTGGGAAATTTACAACATTATGAAGGAACTGACAAACATTTATAAACAAAAACTACAAAATTACTGTTATTTTCTGAAATAACGTGTCTTACATTAAATTGATCACCCTGCATTCCTGACAAAAAATCAAATATTAATAAAACTCACAATAAGTAAATATCTCGAGATACAATACATCAACAATATTCAATTTAATAAGAATTATTGTACTTAAAATTGTATAAGTGTGGATTTTTATATGTATGTAAAATTGGAAGTATTCTATATTTTTAAAACTTGCAGCATTATGGCATTATTTTAAGTTAATAATGTGGACATTTTTAAGGTTTTTTTTTCAGTTATGTTAGGGAAGAAATAAACTTTTTTTTTATCCTCATAGAGTACCTTTTAGATACGGTTTCTATCTATAGGCTTATTACATGAAAAAAACATAATGTCCAGTGTTTTAAAATATATCATTCAGACACATAAGCAAAATAAAAAAATTAAAACATATACTTGTAAAAACAATACCTTTTCAGCTTAAAATTAAAAAAAAAGTACCTTACTAGCAATATTTAATAACATTACGTACTGTAATTTCTTTGATTGGTTCTCCGTCTTCGATCATCTCTTTGATCATTAACAATTGATGTATTTGTTCTTCGTCTTCTGCTAACTGATAAACAAAGAGTTACTTTAATAACATCAAGTAATATACAATTTCTACTCCTACTTTTTCATCTCTCTTTCTGGCATTCATTTCAACTAATTTTTTAGCCATTTCTCTACGTTTATCTCGTTGTTGGTCTGGTGTTAAAACAACAGCTGTGGAATATGGTAGCTGTATTCTTTTCACATTCAGATCGTAATAGTCAGCATCCGACCACATCTTCAGCGTATCCATATAATGATTGGCCAAGAATCCGTGTTCATACAATAATTCCTAAACAAAAACTGTTGTAGTTACTTAAATAAAAATTAAATGACTATACATGTATAAAATTGTACCTCTGCTCGGCTAGGTGTTATGGCGTTGTAGTGGGCTGGATATTTGAGCTGCAAGAGCTTATGCAAATAAGATGTAATATGATATCCACCAACATCAATTCGACGGCTATTGATTAAATCAGGAGTGCCATTGATTACGGGTATAATGTGTGTCGAGTGATAACCACAACTGACTACAAGTCCAGTGTTTTGACATTGACTATTCTTTGAAAAACTGAACAGTCCATCGATACCGTAACAAATGCCAGGAACATGATAACACTCAAATAATAACTCTGACATCACTGCAATATTCACAATTTTTTTTTATACTGTTATCAATAAATAATTTTAATTTACTTACATAATCGAGAATAATTAGGATTGGCCAAGGGCTCTGTGATTACTATTGGATGATCGATATACCCCTCAGTATCGATGCCTAAATGTGAAAAAGTATAATCGAAAATCTGTTCTTGCACATTGAACTGTGTAACGATATTACGGTCGAATTGTGATTTCAACTGGAACCTAACAGCTTCCAAGTTTGAAATATCATTTCCAATCAATGTTTCTCCGTCCTAGAATAACAATACTCGAAAATGGTTATTTTATTTTAAAAACCTTAACAACAATTACTTTTTTTCCTCGTTCCTTTCGCGGCCTAGCCAATATGTTTTTGAATATAAGATTAGGGCTATTTGATGTCGCCCAACCAGCTTTACATGTAAACGAACCTGTTGAAATAAGTTTAATGTAACAATCAAGATGTAACATTGAATTCTGGCATAATAATTACCATTGTCAATTACAATAGGCGTTTTCCAAGTACGCAAAGCTTGTGTATACTCATAATACTTGTCTGGAACCGACCTGAGGTCTTTGAGAATAATTACTTCATCAGACATCGCATCAGAGTATTTGAAATGAAGAAAAGAAAAGGGAATTTAAAAAAAAATTATATTAATTATTGTTAGCCGGTAGGTTTTTCGATTTGATTACATTGGTTCAGAAAAAATTATTTTTGATAAAAAAAACTAATAAACAACCGTTAGTGATAAGAAACTACAACAACAAAAACAACAACAGATACATGCTGCCATGGACTGGCATAATGTCTAAATCATTTAATGTATATAATGATTAATGACATAACGGTCTATATTGCTTATAATTATATAGGTACTTATATAGTCTATGCATCACGAACTAAGATACTAAGGACTATATACCTATAAAGAAATATATAGGTCTATGCTAAGGACTGGTAACGAATGGGCTGGCGGGTGACGGGGGTGTGGTTAAATGTTTTTACAGAAGCCTAAGTGCGGCATGTAAACATACCGCATAAAATGTTATAGCAATTATAAATCTACCTACACAAGTTATTGGTAGGAATTTCTTTAGCGAATTTAGTATTCTATATTAGCCTATCCGCTATCTCTGGGGGGTAGTGTATCAGATAAGGCTATATTGGACCAAAGTAATTTAATAGAAATGATGCAAATACCATATGCAAAAACAATCAGATCAAAAATTGTTTATCAAGCAATCTTTCACAGTAAAATTCATCAATTAAATAACTTAAGATAATACAGTTAAAACAAAATAGGTATATAAAACAATTAAAACCTGAAATAAATGATAACAATTTTTGGGAAAAATGAATAAAATATTAAAAAAAAAATTACGAAATGAACCTAAATAGGTAGTGAAATGTTTTTATAATATTTATATTTTATACTATATAAAGCAAATATAAATACTATATATTATTATAATACATTTTTTAAATTATTTACTGAAGTTTCTTATCTTTTGAAATATTTATTTATTTGGCATAAATGGATGAATACTTTAATTTAATCAAATATCACAGTTCTATACATCACAATTTATCTGTCGAAAAACATAACTTATAATAGAACTAGAAACTATATAAAACATAAAAATTCAAAACAATTTATAAACAAAATTAATGTTGTTAACAATCTTAAGAAATATGTATTAAAACAAAAGAAAAGTAAAATCGGGTACAAATTTAACCTACTTGGTATATGTACATACCTCATGTAATATTCTCTCAAAATAAATAATGTTTAAAATTGAAAACAAAACTTTACCATAAATATCATCATAGTTTACCACATTATTGTTTTTAAGACTCAATGAACCATCTGGGTGCTTAATAATACATTTTTAATATTTTATGAGCTCATTTAAACAACGAGTTTTACCTATAAAAGAAAATTTTTTTTTCAATTATTTTCACATCACAAAGTTTCTAGTTTAGCATTCTTGTTTCTAAAAATAATTAAATTATGAGCTCACAATAATATACTTTAAGATTTAAAATTATTTTTTTCCCCTGTCAAATGTGTAATTTTATGTTTTCATCCACATCGATAACTAGAATTCTTCTAATAGTATACCTGGAGCAAGTAATTTAAGGTCACAATTCTTAGACAATTTATGTGCACCAAACATATACCTACATATACAAAAAATATGATTTAAAAAAATTAATTTGAATTTATCAGATAAAAAAATTGTATTTATTTTTAAACCTGGCAGTTAGAATCAATGTTTTAATTTAAAATAATAAATCTATTTCGATTACTTCCAATTCATGTAATATGTTGTTTAAATAAAAAAATGAATGACAACAGTTTTTTTTTTGTACAAACGTTATTACCAAATTGCCAATATTTTCATACCCTACAGTTTATATTTATACACTTGTGTACCTAATTTGAATACACTTTTTAAATTACATATATATATATATATATATATATACACCTCAAGTTAATATAGTCCATAAAAACCGTTTTTTTGTAACCTATAAAATATATATATACCTATTGACCAATAAGAGAACAGCAACCACATGTTTACAGCATTCCGATGCTCCAGCTTTACAACTACTACTAATGATTAATATTCATATAAAAGTAAAAAAGTTTAAAATAAAATAAAATTTTTTTTTTAATTTAATAAAAAAAATATATTTAAGAATAGTTTAAATATTATATTCTCTTAATTACTATATATTATTTTTTGGAAAGAAATAAAAAAACTCTCATAGTAAAAAAATACAAATAAACATCAGAACAAGTCATTTAAGTTATAGAATATTGAACACAAAAAAAAAATGTAGGTTTTTATTAAAACAATTTGCTATTGCTTTTACATGCATGTACAAAATTTTACAGCTTTTGGTCATAACTTTTTTTTTGTTGGTATATTATATAATGACATTATAATTCACTAGAAGGTGTATCATATTAATTTAAATTAAATTCGAATGTAACCCATAAGTTTATTTGAAGGGCTAATATATATATGTACATATTTTTGAGTTAATTACTGTTGATATAAAATGTTAAATAAAAGTTAAAAACGATAACTTTAATTTATAATTTAAACATTTAATCTAAAAAGGTGCTTATTTTTTTCGTTTTGTACAACAAACCCATTCTTTTTCAATTTTAGGCACTGCAGAACTATGTGAGGCATATCTTCAGTGTTCAGCCAAGCATCTTCATCATCTTCGTCGTTACATTCAACCAAAAGCTTTAAAATCAATTTAACTCAATATTATATATAATTTAAAAAATATACAATAATTTTTATAAGCCTTCGAGCGATCGTTTGGGTGGGCAAAAAACACGCCTCATATCAAAGGGTGAAGTCAGAGTGATATTATCTTGGTGCAAAAAAACACAAAAGGAAATGCAAAATAAATTGCAACATTGTGACTAATATAAATGCCACCAGGCGAGTGATAGTGTAACTTTCTAACACGCAGGGGCTCGAAGATTAAGTAAAAATTTCAGTCAAAACTTACACTTAAAGCTTCTTTTATTGTCATAAATGAATCGGCTTGTGACAGCAAATTGTACTAAAAAAAAAAAAATAATAATAATAGAAATAACTATGAATATTGAAAAAAAATTATTATCCAAAATAAAAGTGATATTCTAACCATGTTTGTTTTACATTCTTTAAATTCTTTTGCGATTTCATTTTCTACGTCTTCATTTATAATATTTTTCTCTATTATAGTGTCAACTTCTTCTTTGAAATCTTTTAAAAGTATTGCCAAAGAGTTGATTCTAAAGTTAAGAAACAACATGGAAATAATTGATAGCAAACAAAATACCTTAGGTGTGTTACTTAATATAATTTCTTTTTGTTTTTAAGTTTTTACTATCTTAATTATTTTATTATCTCTAAAAATTTAAGGCCTGGTTACACAATACGAGTTGCTGACTTGCCAGCGGTCACACGGTGCGAGTAGCTGCACTGCTGTAACTGACTAGGCCAGCTTGGATGCTAGCTCGCACTGTGTAACCAGACCTTTAGTTACATCAAATTTAAACTGAACTGAACCAAGGGAACAAATACACATAACAAAAACTTTTTATATTACTTTAAATAATAGATGCAGTTAAATAATATTCTTTTCTTTAAAGCGCTGAATGTAATTATTTGATGTAATTATTATTTTACCTACACAAGTTGAAACCATTCAGTAGAAGATAAGATAATATTATATAAAATAAAAAACACATTAGAAGTGGCAGAACATGAACAAAAGTGAAAAAAAAAAAATATATATATTAAATATGAACCATCCTATATCGACTTACCGTTCAATTTGATTTTTTGAATTTTCATTGTCTTGCTTAACATTGTTCAAATATAATTTAAATTCTTCAGATAATTTATCATAAACTTTTAGTAGTTTTACTGAACTCAAACATTGAAATCCAGGATAATCTATAATAAAGAGTGATAAAAAAGTTAAATTGATTTTATAATTAAGCAACAAAAATTATCTTTACTTAGCGGTTTAAGTTCCTTTAATAAACTTGTAATGCCATTGATTATATTATGTTTAATCTTTAAGATTTCTTGCTGAGTAATCTTGACCGGATTAACTGGATTTTTGATTAAATTCAAATATTGATCTAACTGGCTTACTCTAATATTCATATTTCTCACTTGTTCTTTAAATTTTTGCAATACATCATACAGTGTGAAATCATCTGATATAACCACTGTGTTTTCTAAAACCTCTAACTGAGTTTCCAGAACTTTGCTCGATGAGCTACATCCCTGAAAATAAGTAAATGTAGATAACTCGATTACAAATATATGTATAATTTGTGTTTAGTATAAAAATAAAAGATTTAAAGATTAAATAATAATATGTATGTGAAACAGCTTTAAACCCGCAAAAATAGTTCTATAGTTGTTTCTTTTTTTTTTTAATGCTCTTGAATAGATATCAACAGGTACATCACAATTTCTTAACATTATTATATTAACAGTGACTCATCCGCGTATCTTTTGATAAATTATCAATGTATCCATTGCTAAACTGTAGAAGAAAGGTCTGTAAATCGCTCTGCACAACCTTAGTCTTCTAGTAACTTTATCCAATCGGCAATCTATCAGACTTCTATGTACATGATACTCAATAATTAATTTTAAATATACCACTGTATTTATAATAAAATGGCACAAAATCCATATTGTTTCACATAAAAACTAAATAGTTGGTAAAATTTGAAGAAATATCGTTGGTTATAATCATACTTATAAAAACAATTATTGTTAGCTTTAGGTATAACGTTCTAAAATCAAAATAGTCATGTTACATTATAACCTTAGTTTACAGCAGTAAAGATAAAATGAAAGTCAAAAATCTATAATCTTACTTCATCTGTGGAAATAAAACTATCTTCCATTTTCTGATAAATGAATAAGTATTAGTATACCATAGTAAAATTGGTGAAATGTTTAAAATTCGAACCAGATCATAAAAAACAAAACATGTAACTTTTACAATAAAAATGGAGGGAATGAGCGAAATACCGTATTATCATAAATTACATTATGATAACCGTAATATCAGTTTTGCCAACAGTGTAATTCATTGGTAAACAAAAAAGTATTCAAACTACAAAAGTAAAAATTAGCCAAGAAATAGGTTTTATGAACGTTTAGTTTAATTATTGGACTTCCAGCGATACGTTTTGAGTTTGATTAAGTCTGCTTTTACTAATTTCAGACGAGTTTTTTATTATTATTAAAAATTGTTTGAAATAAACCCCTTCACGATTGACACAATATTTTATCAACAGCTTATTAGGAAGGCTGGTCATACTGATAAATTGATAACACACCCAACATTTTTGCTATTCGGCATTCTCCGTTCACGTCACAGGTGTTTGTTCAGGCCCTGATTGTCTTACCAATTTACACGGCGTCCGTCCACGTTTTTTGACTGCTGTCAAAAGGAAAACCCGTTCGATTTGTCCATACACCGGTCAACATGATTTCGCCAATCTATCCATTGCAAAAATCTTCTGACCAAAAAAACGACATGGACAACAAGTATCCTCAATTTAGTGCTCACCTCGTACCAGGTAATGTAAACGTAGGACAACTGTAGATTAATTCGATGCACTGTGTTTGTTGGCCGAGTATTGACGTCACGGTGTTGGTTTTCAGGTAGAACGATTGCCGCTGCAGCAGCTGCCAACCCAGACAGCTGCGAGTTTGGATCGCCAAAATACTTTGCCCTCTGCGGTTTGGGCGGTATTGTGTCTTGCGGCTTGACGCACACGTTGGTAACGCCTTTAGATTTGGTCAAATGCCGTCTTCAAGTTGACGCAGCCAAGTACAAGAATCTTATTAATGGATTCAAAGTGACAATGGCTGAAGAGGGTGCCAGAGGATTAGCCAGAGGCTGGGCTCCTACTGCCATCGGTTATTCAATTCAAGGCTTAGGGAAATTTGGATTGTACGAATACTTCAAAATCCTGTACGCCAATGCCATTGGCGAGGAAAACGCTTACTACTGGCGGACGTCGCTTTACTTGGCAGCTTCTGCATCTGCCGAACTATTTGCCGACATTGGTCTTGTTCCATTAGAGTCGATTAAAGTGAAAATCCAAACCACACCCGGTTTTGCAAGAACCATGCGTGAAGCTGTTCCAAAAATGGTTCAACAAGAGGGTGTGTCTGCGTTCTTTAAAAGTTTAGTGCCACTGTGGATGAGACAAATTCCATACACCATGATGAAGTTTGCTTGTTTCGAACGAACTGTCGAGTTGATTTATAAGCACGTTGTTCCTAAACCAAGGGCCGATTGTAGTAAAGGAGAGCAGTTGGTTGTTACATTTGCTGCTGGGTACATTGCCGGAGTCTTTTGTGCCGTTGTTTCTCACCCTGCTGATACGCTCGTATCAAAATTAAACCAAGAAAAAGGCGCTTCTTCCGTTGAAGTATTGAAGAAAATCGGATTTGGTGGATTATGGAAAGGTTTAGGGCCAAGAATCATTATGATTGGTACTCTGACTGCTCTCCAATGGTTCATATACGACTTTGTTAAAGTCTCTTTGAACATGCCTCGACCTCCGCCGCCAGCACCGCCTAAGGGAAAGAAAGAATAGACCAATTATTTAATTATCAATGGTACTCATAATTTATATTATTAAGAATATATTTTTTCAATGTTATTTGTAATAAAGTTACTTACATTTTTGGAAATTCAAGTGTTTATTTAGCTATAAACATTTTATGGTTATATTTATTATTAAATATTCCAATCTCCGTTGCTCAAAACAAAAAGAATAAGAATTGCTCTTGTTTTAATTAAATTGATTAAACTACTAATTTTTTTTTAAATTTAAATTTAATTAATTTAAGCCTTGTCCACCGTAACAAGCTGAACCTTGGTTGACATGAACATTTTACAGCTAATATCAGTATTTTGAAAAAACATTGTGTGTATGTTATTGGGATTTTGCTCGTTTACTAAATTTTTTTAAATTTATAAAACTGAATAATACACACTTGGCTGTAGATGTAACAAATCAATCACGTCTTGATTTATAATATGAAACTGCTTAAATTTAAATTTCCAATGTAAAACCTTTAAAGGAAGAATATTTTAATAATTTCGTTTGTGTATTCAAAGGGATTATAAAACCTTCATTAATAATGATTTTTTTTTTAATTTCATCATTTTTTCCTTAGTTTTAAGCATTTTATAAAAATGTCATGAACAAAATAAACAATGACAGTATTTTATTGAACAAAACTAGTTTGAGGGGGGGGGGGAGGAAATTATTAGCAAACGTTCTACCGTTATCGGACAGCAATAAATATTTCTGATAAGAGTTTGCTACAAGATATATTCAAAACTATTCTGATCAATAAAATTTAAAACAAAAACAAACCAACTATTACTCCATTGGTCATCTCGTAATATTTTTATTTTGAACCAATTATAATAATTAATAATTCTATTTATTCCTTCTAAACTCCAATTGTGATTACTGAATCTGCTGAATCGTCTTACTTGTTCCCAGGAAGTGAGCTGTTTTGTGAGAACTGAGATAATAACATTTACAACACCTATGTACAAATTACTGTGTTGTTATCTCGGTAGAATATTATGATGGTGGTCTAATCACTAATCGTTATTATTATTTTTTCATTTTCTATTCTCGATTCTTCTGTAGTTTTTGTCGTTATGTACGATCACCAACGACAATGTAATAATATAGCTGTTCGACTTGACGAGACGATGCTAAATCGTTGCGATAAATTTGAATGTCTATCATTACTTAACAGATAATCGACTAATCTGGTGTAATTATTGTACAAAACGTTCTAGTTCGCTGTTAGTTCATGTTCTACGAAAGACAACAAAAAAAACTACTCAACAGTTATTAAAACGACAGTAAGTAGTAACCGTTTTATGACGCCATAAAGGCAAATCATAATATTATCAGACAAATTTTCCATTTGGAGGCAAGTCCGAGCAAGGTTCCTATGTTAAATCTCGCTATGTTTTAGTTTAAATTTTGTAAAATTGCAATTATGTAAAATAAATATTCTATTGATTTTACATTGTTGGAGCAATTGGGTGTGTTTTTTTTTACACACTCATCTTTTAGTTTTTCTTCGTAGTAATGTCCACTGTAATAGGCATCTATTACAGTGGATTTATTAATTAATAACACACATATTATTATATTACATACAAGTTAATTGTACATAATTAATGTGTTGTCATTTTTATAAATCAAATCACTGTATGTACCGTAACAATTAGTAAACATATTTGCACAATCTATTAAACTATTATGTTCGATGCGTGTTGATTTTTGCAATGATTATACTTTGATAATGGTATTTAATCTATTTTAATTGTACAGTCGAAACAAGAGTTCATTTATTAAAATAATTTAAAGAATATTACATACATTGCACGTTTTTCATAACAGTTTTTACGAAGTACTAATAATATACTACTTGTAATAAAAAATAACTAATCAAATGCTTTGTCAATATTGATCTAATTATTAGTTGTGATATTGTTAAATTTTCGTACTGAAGTACAAAAGTAAATAAAAATATAACTATACAATTTTTGTTAAGTCTAATGCTTATTTATGTTTTAGATTTTCAAAAAAACAAAATGATTTCAATCGAAACAATATTGTTGTCTATTACGACAGCAATTATTACGCTGTTTGTTGGTATTTATTTATACTATAAAAATATATACAACTACTGGAAAAAAATAGGAGTTTACCATATTGAGCCAGAATTTTTTTTTGGTAATGCCAAGGAGCGAGTAATGTTTAAAAAATCATTTCACGAGTTCCACAGAGATATGTATTTTAAGTTTAAAGGTCACAGATATGCAGGTAACTATTTCTCAATTAATTTTTAAAAACGTTTTATTATTTAAAAATTTACCAGGAAATTTATAAATTTTTGCTTACAATTATTTGATATCCAAAGATATTTTTGCATTTGATTAAAATGAAAACTACATTTTGCAAGTCTTGTATTATTATTATTATTGATTAGGATACTATCTTGGTCGACGAGCTTCGCTAGTGGTTATAGATCCTGAAATAATAAAGTGTGTTATGATAAAAGATTTCAATCATTTCACGGATCGTCAAACAGCTCGATTTCGTACATCCGAGTATATCACTCAGATGTTGATAAACTTAAAAGGAGCAAAATGGAAAAGAATGAGACACTTGTTGACCCCAGCATTTACCTCGGGTAAATTAAAAACAATGGAACACCTTGTAGAGGATTGTTGTAATAATATGAGAGAGTTTCTAAACGATAAAACTGGTAATTATAATTAACTAATTAAGTTAATCAATTATAATATACTTAAAAGTTACTTTTAGAGGATGGAGCTAAACCATTTGATTTAGAAATGAAGGACTTTTTTGGTAAATTCACATTGGATGTCATTGCTACTTGTGCATTTGGTGTCGAATCCAATTCATTAACAGATGTATCGGGCGGTTTTGCTAGTCGAGTGTCAAACTTTGCCAGTTTAAGCATCTTTAAACGTTTGTCTCTATACATTATATTGCTGTTTTTACCTGGAATTGCACGATTTGTACCATTGTCATTCTTTAACATGGAAGTCATTTACTTTTGTGCTAACGTAATAAAAGACGCCAAACATTATAGACATACAACTGGACAAAAGTATGTCAATACGTTATTTTACAATTTCACCTCTATTTATCAATTAATATAACACATACAATTGTATGTATGAAAATCATTTTAACATTATTTATTTAGATATTTGACGTGAAATCATAAATGACCCATTAAATATAATTTTATAGTCCATTACTAAATTTAAGAAACCACTCAATTAAAAAAAAAAAAAAACATGAAATCTTATATACAAAAATATATAATATTTATTAGTAATAATACTATTTTTAAGTTTTTCATATTATAAATAAAAATACATAATCCATTATATGCATTATAATTTGTATCAAAGAAAAATTAGAAATGCAGCAATTGTTTAAAATTTCTATCAATACCCAATTATTGACACTCTATACCTATTTTTAATAACGTAATGGTTAATGTATGAAAGCAACACATTTCTGATAATTAATAGCAGTCACTTAGTAACTGATTAGAAAAAAAGTTATACATCACTATTGCCACTATAACAAAATGTCCAATGATTTAAAAAAAATAACTGTACTTAAACATTATCCATTAGTATTTTAGATTAGATAATCTTTTTATCTTTGACATTATTTTTTTCCTAAAGGCGAAACGATTTCTTGCAGTTATTATTAGATGGTGAGAAGGATTTGAATAAAAATGATGAAAGTAAATTGAAAGAAGGTAAGTTATAAATTACTCAGTAACACATTTGTTCAATTTTTAATTAATTAAATTTATTTTAGATGTGCTAACTGAGCCCCAAGTGATAGCACAGTCTGTACTGTTTCTCATAGCTGGATTTGAAACGTCTAGTACACTAATGGCATTCACTTGCTACGAGATGGCACTGAATCCAACTATTCAAACTGAACTCAGGGAAGAAATCCTGAGAGTGTTAAAGAAATATGATGGCATATGTACTCATGACGCTATACAAGAGATGCATTTGTTGGACATGGTACTGTATGGTGAGCATTGCATCAATGATGTTTTATTAGTATTAATATATATTGAAACTACAATAATACAATATTGTAGATTATTATTTAGTAAACAATTGAAGTTTAACGTCAAATATTACTCGATACTCGTCATTTACTTCGAGCTTACTTTTTTCCCATTTTTTTTTATTGTATTTGAAATTAGTTGTTATACTTTTTTGTACGTTTTACAACTAATTTCAACTGTTCACAATGCAATCAGTTAAATATAGTTCAGTCTATGTGTGTGCGCCTTAGTCTAATTTTTTTTTCAAATAGTAGGTTTTACAATGTACAAAAATAGTAATAGTTATAATATTATCTTAAATGTTTGCAGAAACACTTAGAAAACATCCGCCCGTCGCTCAACTGGAACGAGTGTGTACTCAAGACTACACAATTCCAGATTCTGATTTGCACATTAAAGCTGGTATGACTGTGCAGATACCTGTTGTGGGATTACATTATGATCCAGATTATTACCCAGATCCACATAAATTTGATCCCAGTCGGTTTACTCAAGAGGAAAAAGCAAAACGGTCTCAGTATGTTTACTTACCCTTTGGCACTGGTCCCAGAAACTGTATTGGTAAGTTAAAGATTGTAATATATTATAAGTATTAAGTACAAACAATATACTCGTAGTAAAAACTCGTACATCAATTCAACACGAGATATAAAAAAAAGACGTGTTTAGACTTTGAGGGCGTAAAAACATATCTTTACATCATAACGCTCACAATACTACCACTTAATTCCAACTTGATACTCATTAATTATTACCACTTATTTTATAATTTTACAAAATTTAAATATCCTAATTCCTAAGTGTTCAAGCTACAAATTGAAAAATCTGCAAATTATCAAATTATATCATTCTATCTAGTTGCTCTCTCAAATTATTCGTATGCACATTTAAAACAAAAATTAAAATTTTTTTACGGCGGAAATTATAAAAAGAATTGAAGACGACACTCAAGCTGTTTTTATTTTCAAGAATTCTATTATTGCTTACATAATCCAACACTGTACATATTTAAACCAAGCTGGGCAAATTAAAAACTTCAAATTTGCCTTTTTTATAGCGTAGTTTGTGGCTTACGAGATGAATTCTCATGAAGAGGCTTCAAAATGGGTTTGATCTTGCTAATATTTGTTTATGTAATTTTAGGTCTGCGATTCGCTTTGATGAGCACCAAACGAGGAATGGTACACCTCCTTAAAGATTTTTTGATTGAAATCAATGATAGAACTACAATTCCATACGAGTACAGTAAACACTCAATGTTGCTGAAGGCCAAGGATGGCGTCTGGCTTTCTGCCAAAAAACTGAATACATCGTAACATTGTAAGGGCCTACTACTTATCACCTGAAGTACCTACTACTATCCTGTAGTATTATTATAGGTATAGCAATAAAAATACACCGAATATATTTTGTAACAAATTTTTATTCTTTTTTATCTGTTTTTTTTTTTTATAATTATTATTATTCATTGTAAATTATTGTGATTTACAATAAAATATTTTGTTTGTATCACAATAATCTACTTGCATAAATATAAATATATATAATGGTTTTATTTGATCTTACTATTCTAGTTTTATACAATATAATGTATTTTGTATATATATATATATATATAAATGTTTTAAATATATATTCTATTCATAAAGTTTATTTTTTTGTTTTTATAATATAAAAAGTGTTTTTTTTTATAATAAAACGTGTGTAAATTATTCTATTTTAAGTGTAATAAGCATTTAAAAGAATAACATATTAATAATATATTATTATAAAAAACCAAAGTCAAATCAATAATATATTGTTATACAGGAACTTGTTGACATAGAAAAAACAAATTATATACAATTATTAAAATGGTTTAAATTAAAATATTGCGCCCAATGATGGTAATACTGTACATAAATCATTAAGTACTAATTTTGAAATAGTTGAACCGTTTTTGATATTGCAAATTTTTTATAGTTACTTAGAGTGGAGGGGGGGGGGATATGGAATGTGTTCGAATAGATGGCACAAATAATAAATTACACTAATTTCCAACACTATGCAGTCGGGTTATTTTACAAAGCCATCACTTACATTAATATAATACTGAATATATTATAATTAAATACATTATAATTATTTAATAATACAATAAACCTAATAGTTACCTTGCAACATTGCGTGAGGATATTACGGTTTGTCGAAACAAATTAGACGGATATTTTGTAAAAACTATACTTAAAAAAAGTTATTGTTCATCAATAATCAATATAAATAAAACGGTAATTGCCAAATGTAGGGAGGGCTAAGAAAAAATGGTCGATTGTCTTCTACACAATAATAATTATAACTTAAAAAATAAATTTTACAAATAAAGTGACAACATTAAAACAAATTTAACACTATAGAATGTTTAAAACATAATAATGATAATTTAAAATATTAAAAAGAGCTATAAAAAATATATATATACATAGCTCGTCTGTGTGTTTAAGGCACTCGTTACTTTTGAGATAATAATCTAAAACCTATGATATAACATAGGTATAATATATATTTATAATATACATACATGGATATAAATACTATGCGTATCACAGAATGTGTAAATTACTTAACAATTAAATTGTAGGGGAAAAAATACAATTTAAAAAAATTAACGATAATAAGTTACACATTTAAAATATGATTGTCATCAAATATTCTTAAAACATACAGCAGCTAATACGTCCTAAATGTTATATCCAAAATGTATGAATCGGGTATCATTGCTGAGAAGTGGTTAAACAAAGCATAGGACGGAAAAGTTAAAAGTTGAAAACCAGCAGATATACAATTGTATAGTGTTTTAAATTTAAAAGATTATTAATTTATACTCGTGTAAAGTCATACAAAATCGGATAAACTCAATACAAAAATGTATTAATTGAAGAAAATTAAAAGCATTTAAATTGTTTATCGTTTTAACTGAAATCATCAATATGTAATACCATTAAAAGTATCGGGTAAAAAGTAAAGAAATCAATAATATTTTTAAAAAAAACCTGTACAATATAATAAATACTGAGTAAAATCAAAAGTTAGTTGTCGAGTTAAAACAAAAATGTGTAATAAATAAACAGTTGTCAAAAAGCTATTGTAATAATAATGCGGTGTTTAAATGTTGGGACTTTGAATTATATTGTGATGGTTGTTGTCCCTGATGGTCACTTGAGTTATATAAGGGCCAGGGCCGTGTGGCGACGACCTCTGGTACATATTGCTGTTGCCGACATGGTTATTGTTGTTGATATTTGTAGACCTTTGGTGTGATTGCGCACCACCGACCTGCTGGCCGCCCTGGGTGTCACCGCTGTAATTGTACAGCGGATAATTGGACTTTGCCACCGGATAGCACCGCGGTGACTGTCGAGGGCCACGAGCGGAACCGCCGTTGGTTTGGGTCGAGCCTAAACAATTGGTCGGCAGTGTGTGAAGAGAGACCGGATGTTTTATACATATGTACGATGGTTGCTAGAGGACAACTCACCTTGTCTGATCAATGTGTTAGAGTTGCTGTCCACCAGTCCTGAAGCAGACCCAGAGTAAGGTAGTGATCGCATAACGCTTTCGTATTCATAATAATTTGAACTCGGACGGGCCACCGATTCCTTGGGGTCGCGTCTCTGCGAATGGTAATGTAGCTGTCGGCGACTAAAAAGTAACAATAAACACAAACAGATGAGCCAACTTACAATGTACAATTTTTTTTTTTTTAGAAAACTCGACCTTGAAGCTCTTCTTTAGATAATTTCAAGCCTTTTTTTTTTAATTACCATTATTTGAACATGCTCGTTAATAATAAAATAATATAATATGAAAATAAAGTAGATAGTAAGAATATTAAAAAAAAAAACCTAGTATTAAAATTGTGATTTTTTCAAACCTACCTTTCGTCGTCTGTGTCATAATAACAAGACACGGGTTTTTTTGCTTTGCCATTGTGTCGAAGCTTAACGCCGCGAGTTTCATGCATTGAGCTATAATCAAAAGTGCACGAGCATGCATGATGAAAGAAGATAATGAAAAGAGACATTCATTCAGCATAAATTACTCCCCAGATAAAAGAAATAAAATAAAACAAAAAATCAATATCACTGATATGCATCACACAGGCAAATCATATCATGCAGTAAAGCTGTAGGTATGAAGAATTAGGCAAAACACAGATTTTCATTAAAAATCATTTATTGAAAACGTCACCGAACCAAAATTTACACTGTTATTTAATACAAAAAAAATGTATTAACTTGGTTGTAGTTTGATAGCCAGTGGCATATCGCTGATTACTTTGATATTTTATACTTGTTATCATAGGTACAATTATTCTAAATTCTTTTGGAAAAATATTACCAAAAAAAAGAGAGGGCTTAAAGAAATATAGCGCCTGTACGATGAGGACTTGGTTTGGGGGGATAAGCTCCCTAAACCTAATCACTAATTGCACAAATGTGTTGACATAAAATATGCTGATTTTTAACTTGTAAAAAAAAAATAACATTTTTAACTTAAGTTATGCCTTTTGGAATAATATAAAATATTGTTTATGGAACGAAACGTTGACATGGTTCCAAAAGGCATAACTTAAATTAACTTTCCTTTCTTATAAGTTCAAAATAATTTAACATTTGTTGTAGTTATAACAAATAATGTAATTTCAGGCTTGGAAACGTTTTCAACCCATGGTAACAATCCCAAAAACCAATTTTTTCAACTGAAAACTATTTTTTAAAACATTTGGTTTTTGGGATTTCATACCAAGATTTTGCCCAATACTGCAAATATGCTTATTTTTGTATATGAAAACCCTCAAAGCGAAATATGAGAAATCCTATCAAAAGCCTGACTGATAAATTCCAACTTTGATCTCACAAGTCCCAACTGTATAATTGTTTTTATTATTAAATTTTTTTTTTTTTTACACGATAATGAAAGTAAACAACAAACATGGAAGCATGCAGAAGAAATTAATGAGAATATAAAACAACTATGATATGTTGCCAAGTATGAAAAGTGCAAAAATAAAAAATAATTTAAAAAAATACTCACTTCAAGTTTTGTTGGATTTCCTGGAAATTAACATAATGATTAAAACGTGGGTCAGTAATTCCCACACGACTACCTGGTCGATTAATGGAACTTTGACTATTGTTAGCAGACTAAAACAAATATAAATTTATATCAAAATATAACAATATTCTTTTAACAAAATTATTAATTATCACCTTTCGGAGATCAGATTCGTAGTGGTTTTCTTCCCTTTCCTCAGGCACATACTGTCCACTACGTTCCATGTGCCTACGTTGGTGTTCAGCCCTAAGCTGTTGTATACGGTCTATACGAGACTGTTCGGGGTTAGCGGGTTTGGCCATCACAGTAGTATAATTATTTGAAACGTCGTCTACAGCTACTTCCCGACAACGATTTTGTTGTTCCTGTCACAATATTACAACATATATTATTACATATTCAAAAAACTGATTTAGGAATAACAGTTATTAATAATTATACATGACTGTTATAAATCTTATTTACCATTTCGGCTTGTCGTTGCATTAGCCTTTGATACTGTTCCTGTATTCGTAGTTGCTCGTCTCGGGCACTTTTTCTAGCAACTTCCCGCTCACGATCCAGTGTGTTGTCTTCTTCTGAACTTAACGTGCCATTCATATCCGTTCCTCGTCTATGTTTGCCAAACCTAATAATATCATGCAAAAATAGTCGAATCAATAAATTTGTAATAACTCTTATAGCACTCAACAGATAACAGTTAGTTTGGTCATTACTAACCTAAACATAGAACCGATTCCTTTGAGTAAACCCGGTTTCTTTTTGTTCGCAGCAATATTTGGCGCTTTGGGTGATTTATAATCTTGAGAATGAAGCGAAGACTGTCGCCGACCAATTTGATGATAGTCTCCTTCTTCACCATCTGAATAAATTCAAATTATTAGCAAATATACATTTTTTTAAATTAAACTAAATACACATACATGTGTCTAAGCGAAGTTCGTGTAGTGACAATGGTCCGTCTTTGTCAACAGCCGCCCTAAAACTCTCATCACATCCTCTTCCACGAACCACTCTCATGTTTCCCCTTTTACCGTCTTCAGACATTTGCACTTCTTGCACCATAGTTTGCAGCGACTCCAAACTAGATGACTTTTTCATTCCCAATGATGGACCCAATTGGTGTTTAGACAAAATACCATTGCCTGATTGGATATTAATGAAATTAAACAACTTTTCTTTAAAATAATTAGTCTTTGTACCAGGTAAGATAAAAAGAGATAAAATAAATAAACTATACTAACGATTGCCAATGTCATCTCCACCACGTTCTTCTCGCAACTTTTTGTTTCTTTGATACGTGTCTGTACTTTTGGCATCGAGTGTAGCATGTCGCTTTTCAGACATACTTTGCCTCCCAAATGCATCTCTTGAAAATCCAGAATTGGCGTTGTCAAGAGATAATCTGAAACAAGACAGCGTTTCATTAAATTTAAGACTACATACTACTACAAGCAGTTTGAATTTAAAGCTTCACTACTTACTGGCTCGCGTATGTAACATCAGTACTTGTTGATCCGGTTCTGGTTTGTTGTGGAGAAACGACTAAATTTGGTTTTTCCTCTTCTATTTTTTTCCGACTTACAAAAAAAAACATTAATGATAAATATGTAGGCACAATACTATAAACTAAAATTAATTGTAATAAACTACAAAGCAGAAGACACGCATACTTGATTGTGTTGTATATTGGGGGATCTTCTTCAATAATTAACATCTCACCAGAAGATTGGTTAACAGTAGGACTTTTATGTTTGTCTTCTTCTTTAATCATTATCGTAGTCTGATGCGTTGCCTGAAGACGTATTACAATATTATATTATATTAAGTGGTAATAATAAAAATAATTAATTTATAAAAATAAAATATTCAAAATAATAACCTTATAATAACTTTCATTACGTAAACCGTTGTAACGATTAGCGTGCCCAGTCAACCTCTCCAACACAGGATTACGAATAGCAATGCCATCTAGAATTTGAAATAAGTATATTGATAAAATAATATTATTGAACAAGTGACAATAAAAACACACCTGGAGAAGACACTGGCAGTGGTTTTCTTTTAGAATTTTCCGATCCTTGTCTTTGATGCATGAATATAACAGTACAATCAGAATTTTCACTTGTGCCCGAGTTATCAGTCACATTTTGAGCACTACTATCGCTGGTATCGAGGCGGCTAAAAGTTTCAGTATTAGCTAAAAAAATAAAATGTAGAAAAATTAATTTGAGGAAACACAAAAAAGCATATCCATTTTTTTCTATTTATATACAAACCAGAGGAATCTGTGAGTAAACTAGACGACGAGTCACGACTACGCCTTCTGTGTAATGTTGGAGAACTATTGCGACGACGGGCTACAGTCAAAGATATAGCTCCAGGTACGGGCCCAGGTTCCACGTTTATCATAGTTCTCCGTAATATTTCCATGGCAGCCGCATTTGTCTGGCTAATTAGCGAAATACCGTTTATATACAGCAACTGATCGTTAGTGCGTAGTCTGCCATCTCTAAATATTTAGCTCACATTGTAAATCTATTCATTTTGAGAATGTAATAAATAATTATTAAATACCTCGAAGCAGCTCCGCCGTGTAATACATTTTTGATGAAGATACCCAAATCTTGTGAAGAGTTTTTGTCATTTGAATTATTAGCGGAAGTTTTCCCCTTAACACTGATGCCCAAACCGGCCTTTTCTGAATCGTGCACGGGAATATCAAACGTCAAGATTTCTTTGTGTCTCCAAGGAAACGTTTGACTTTCTTCTAAACTCTTAATATATTCCTAAAAAGATAAACAAAATTGCATATTATTTCAATTGTATAGAGCTTGTGTAATAATAATGATGAAAAAAAAACAAAAGGAAAAATAAAATACCTGAACTGTATTATTATTATTTGACTTGGCCTTTGTATCTTTCAGTTGAGTTACTGACGTATTACCACCAACCTCTCGTTCGTAATTTTCATCAGTATCCTACAAATAAATACAAGTTAAAGTAAAATTATAAGGAATTAAAAAAAAAAAAAAATCAACAATCTTACTTTTTGTCCAGTTTGGCTAGTAACATCTTCTTGTCTGGAAACAATTATTTTGACTCGTGCCCCAGACGGAACTTTTCGAAGTATTGCAACTGCTTCAGATTGAGTCTTGCCTGTCAGTTCTATTCCATTAACAGCCAGTAGTCGATCCCCTGGCCGAAGTCTACCGTCCTCAACAGCAGCTCCCTAAAAACAAATGTAGTTCATAATAAATCTATTTTAATTATATAATAATAATAATACTATGATTAGTTCTAGCTAAAAAATCTAATCAACACTAAAAAGTTAAGTCTTACCTTCGGTAAGACATTTTTTATGTAGATAGGACAATTTCCTCCAGCCGGATTATCCCTAGTTGTAATACTGAAACCTAATCCGTGAGATCCTTTAGTGAGTTCCAATTCCATTTTTTTACCTATTTTTCTTGTATTCGCAACCATCAGAATATTAGACGCAGTGGGCGTTGCGGCAGTTACTTTTTTTGTAGGCGAAATCGTGGCCACTTTAGCGTTTGAATTACTCGCTGGAATGATAATTGGCTTGTTAGTTGTTAGTGAGCAAAAAAACAACATTTTATTTAAACTCAAGTTCTCACGTTTGTTATCTTTGTTGGACAGCCCCGTTGTGAGATTTTCTTTGTTGCTAAATGGAGCACAAGTGTTGTTGCTGTGGTTGTTGTTGGTGGACGGCTTAGGAAACACTGGCGGAGGGGGTTGTTTTTTGTTATTCCCGGATACTGCATTTTGACTAGTTTGATTATCTTGATTGTTTTTGTGTTTTACTACTCTTAGTCTAAGCTCAGAGGAATGCAACGAGTCTCGGAATATTTCTTGTATCCTATAAAACCATTATTAAAATATTTTAAAATCGGGTGCGCTGTTTAAAATAGTCACACTACATTAACTAACTGCTTTTATCCGTTTATCCGTATAGATATACTTACGCATTAAATGGTTGATCCAATAATGATCGGCCGTTGATTTCAACAATTCGATCGTACACTTTCAAACGACCGTCGCAGTAAACTCTGCCACCGGGCTCAATACCTTGAACCAAAAGACCACGTTCCTTGCCTAAAGAGTTGTAATCGGGAACCACGTGAATTCCCAGAGAACCTCCGCCCGTGCTAAGTACTATGTACTCGGTACTAGAAAGACACCAATCATATTATAGTAAACAGAATAATAATACAAAAGTGAATAATCATACTGAATATGTATTATTTTTATACAGGGTCGAACTAAGGTAAAAATAAAGGAAGGCTTTGGATAAGTTTATTACAAATAAAAGGCATAAATAAGCACTTAAAATAAAAATTGGCATATGAAATAATTTTAATCCATTATGGAATTACAGAACATTTAGAAGAGTTTCGTCGAGTTAAATTTCTAAATATCTATTCAGAGATTGAACTCATTAAAACTCAATAGGTAAAATGTGGCCACCAAAAATTTCTAATTTCTACAACACCCAATAAAGTAAATTATATATATTATAATTTATACACATAATTTATTATATTATATTATTAATTCTACTTTTTAAATCTTAATAAGTAAATTTAAATGCTTGGTCAGAATCAGAACTACTTATGTAATACAATTTACTTTGTAAAAACATTTTATATTATGTATTGTTTAAGTAAATAATAATAATAATTTAAACTAAGATAATAATCACTGGCACTATATTTGATATTTCTCCTTTTAAACCGAAACATATGCTCATGTGCTCAATGACTAATTAGTTATTAGTGCTTTTTAGTAGATAAATTCTATTATAAACTATTTTTTGAGCCAGTTCAACAACATTTTATAGTTATAAAGTTCAGTGTAATGTACTTTTGAGAATCTGAAGATCTCATCTGGGGCGGATTTGTGTTGGCCTGACCAAGCGGTTCTTTTCTTCGATGGTCCCTTGGAAGGGATAGCGATAACGCCCGGTTGTTTGCAAGATCAGCAGCGTCGGCCCACCGAAATCCTCTATAACATTTACATAAAAATTTAGCTAAGTATAATTATATATATTTACAGCTGTTAATTTAATGAACATACCCTGGAGTGTCTCCTAAAAACTGCATCGATAATCGGTTACTAGAGTCTCGGTGAAATGATGGTGCCAGGAAATGGTTGGTAACTGTAGGTTTGTCTTCGTCTTCCATTTCTAGTTCATCTTCATCTTCTTCAGAATACCGCCAATTATCTGGCCCGCCGAAACCATTTTGTTTTAAGTACTCGTCCTGCAACAAAGACATCCAAGCATTAATAAATGCTAAACAAACTATAAACACTTAGATTCTACCGACATTGTTAAGCATTTAACAACTGGATTTTTTCTTTCAATATATTAGAAAGATTTCACAAAATTGAAACAATTTAACTTTTTAGACTCTCCTAACAATTTGTATAGGAAGTATGAAATTAAGACTGATAACCGTTGACATAGTTATATAATGTTATTAAGGGAATTGCATGCGGTCAGTTTTTAAGGAACTTTGTATAGGCAATATTTAAGGAAAAAAATTTAATAAATTTCGACCACGCCAATTAATTTAGCGGTTAATTTATAAAAGCTTCAGGGTATTATTTTTAATAAATAAATATTGTTTCTTTGAGCAAAAGCCATTTTGGTTTATTTTAGACCAAATAGCCAGATAAAATGTTTACATATGATGGTCTAATTTCAATTCTATAAAGATATTCGAGTTTTTTGGCTAATTTACTATGTTATGTAAGAAGCCGATTTTCATTTAAAAATGTCAGTTTCTTGTAATTTAATAAATTTAATTTTCATTTTTTTTTCAATATCATAACCCAATTATTTTTACATAAAAAAAGGAAAAAATCTGTTTCCTACATAACCTAGTTAAGTTCTCGTACATCAAAGTTCTCCAAAGAACTCGTTTATCTTTACAGAATTGAAATCAGAACATGGAAATTTTGTCTAGCTTTTTGGTCTAAAACGTAAAAAACGGACAGCATGAGATCCACTTAATTGGAGAATACAATATTTATTAACAAATACGAATGTAAAAAAATGCTTGTAAATAAAAACATATAAGTACATTAAAAAAACAAATTTATTTTAGGCCTAAATAGACAACCTGTTCATACCTATATTATAATATTATTAAACAATAAGTTATTCATTGTGTGTGCTTTTTTTATTTATACTTTATAACTTTTATTACATATTGATATATTATTTTGACAAAACTTTAATACATAAATAGTATGCTCAAAATTAGGCGAGAAAGTATGGAAGTCACTCATCCGGGAACAGGTTACGGCCAATGTAGCTCAACTACACCAGTCATGGTCGACATGTGATGTTGTCAACCGCACTACACAACGATTTTAATTCAATGTGTAATTACGTATTATTTGTGTTTTTATTATTAAATAGTTTTTCAAAAATGAGTACAGAAAATATATTAAATAATTACGACATATAATGTTTGATTAGATTTGTCCATTAGGCGACTACATCTATTATAGTTCTATAAAATTGTCATTCTTACATTTTGCAAACAACAGTTAAATATATACAATAAAAGTAGTTGGAAATAATTAAAAAATATTTGAATTAGTTTTTAATTATAAATCCAGAATATGTCTAGTATCTTTAGTTTGTTTTAGGGGTTTTCTCATAGCATATTCGTGGCTGAATGTTCTTCTAGACACGATTCGCGTTAGACTTCTATCATCCCACTCTTTCATTTTTCCACATATGCCGTTTGTATTCAGTACTTTGGGCTATTCGTTTAGATCCTCCCCCGAAATACCTGATTTCTCCCGTTTCTATTGCGAAAATAAATTCCCCTTTGGGCTTTGACCTATACAAACGCATGACAGTGCCGAAAGTAATTGTTTCAAGACTCGTTATAAATCATACATAGTTAATGTTACCCACCTTGAGTAGTTTTTCTTTAGGGTCGTGACACATTGGAGCGGCCGACCAACGTTTGGACTGACCCGAAGCCGCCGGCCTGGTATTGCTACTTCTTTTGCCCAGATTATTAGCTGCCAAAACAAAATACAATCATTTATAAAACGTGATCCAAAAAATAGAATATTAACTTCACACGGTCAGGTTGTGTCGCGTGCAATTTTACCTGTCTCGAGTGGAAGTTGATTAAGTGCTGGCTCGCTGCCCCTCCGCACATGCAGAGCAGGAAATCCAGAAGCAATTTGTTCGGTAGTGACTTCGATGTCGGTTTGAAGTCCATCTCGACCCTATAAAAACAATTACCTTTTAATAATATTCATTACTTGCTAACATTTTACACACAATAAATGTCAACCATAATTACACAGGTGTCATTAAGTGTGATACACACATAGGTGATGTCAACAACATATGTTGTTTATAGGTCAATTCTCGAAATGACCCCATTATGACTGGTCAACATGAAAATAAAATAAAATATCTCCATTTATGTACGTTTGAGTCTATATACATTAAAAGTATATATGTATATATTATATTATATTCAAACAGTGGTGTAGACAGGAATTTTTTATGGGGGGGGGGGGTTCATGGTTGGAAAAAAGAACTCATTAAATTTATTTCACTTATAACAAAATTTGTATTTTTGTTGGCTTACTTGCTAATTCATCCAATACTTTTTCAGGCATTGCAAAAAAAACACTAAGTTTATTTCCCTTTTTAACACTCATAAGTTATAACAAAATATCTATTTTCACGTGTATTTTATATTTTAAGCTACTTAACTACTTAGCACTGTGGTGTGGAAAATTTCCACAAGAAATCTCTGTACACAATTACAGCTGGCTAAAGGTTAGATATTTGGTTGCACCGGACAGTACCATTTAAATTGGCTTTCGTGGAAATTCTAGAAAATGCAAATTAAATTCAATAGCTCGTTATGGCCGAAAATTGCATGCAAATGGGACGAATGGCACAGAATAAAACTAGAGCGTACATAATTAATTAAACATATCGAACGGATCGCAGTTAGGTAGTGCGAGCTGAGTAGCACTAGAGAATCAGAAGTTACAAATAATTTATTCTACAGACATTATATATAATAATCTCATTAAAGCATGTCTATTTCTGCATCTACGTAGACAGATTTAGAGCGAAGTAATGACAGGTAAATTGAAAGAAGTGGAAACTATAATATTATAAATAAAGACACGTTTATGTTATGTGCAGGGTTAAGAATTTAAATTTTCTGGAGAGAGAGGATCGGTCGAATGCCGGACCCCATTGTAGTACGGGATAAGGCAAAAAAAAAAGATGTAAATTCAGACACTCATTTGGATAGTAGCAATTATAAAAAAAAAAATCTTCCCTTTACCAGTTTCCACAACTGTTTCAAAGCAGCCTTCACTTCAAAAGTGAAAAATATAGTTTTATCATTTTGCATACATGTGTATAGTTGTCTAAAATTTTTTTAAATTAATATTAATCCTAGGCAAATTTTGTGGTGGTCCGGGAGACTGAAAATTATTATCAAGGCCAGGATATTCGCATTTTGCCGTATAGGCTTTCATATTCTTAATACGTGTGGTAAAAAGAAAAGAATGCAAATCCCATCTTAAGAAGAATAATTATACAACAACGTGAATTCCAAAGAGACCACACGGAGGGTTCAAGACGTATGGATGATCTATTGTACGCATTGTATAGAGGTAATAATTATTTTCATTATTGTAACAGGCGGGTAAGCCAACCATTAACTAAGAGCACCTTAGTATAAAGTAGGGTAAGGTATATTGATCTCTTCGAAAACTTCAAAACCAACTCTATTCAAAAGCGTTTTTTCATATCAAATTACTGTTGTTTACCCACCTCAAAGGAATTTAAGTTTCATGTATTTTTTTAGTGCTTCTGAGATAAAAGAAAACGTATGAAGTATCCATAAACAAACTATATATGCTAAAATACTTTTGAATGACAGATCCTAATGAAAGACTTATAACAGCTTAGATATTTCCGAAAAGTACGCTTATGAATGGGGACAATAAGCACGTACTTTCGAGTTTGAAGATCTTAGGTAGCAGAGCAATCAAGATAATCAGCAAGACTAGAGTAATAAGGAAAGAGTATTTCTTAACAGTTCTCGCGTATCCTAAGTAGTCTGCAGTTAATATAATAGACTATATTACAGTCACTATAATGTATAATGACTATAGCTTTTTAAACCGTGATAACCATTCGGAGAGTTACAAATAAAAGTTAACCGGACAAGGACTTATGAAATTCTAAAGTATACAACGGTTATCACCCATGTCTGATAGAGAAACACACTGTACACTCTAAGAATGCTTTAAACGTCTAAACTTCTTCAGCGCCCTCTAGTTATTGCTCCTCCCCCGTCCCCCCTAAATTAGTTTTATATGCATGTTTGTTACTGTACAGATACACCCGAGTAGTAATCATTGTATAAATTATATTTCTTGCTGTACTGTACTTACGTGGAACATATCCGGACTAGACGTGGCGCTAGCTCCGTCTCCGCCACCGTGATGATGTGGACTCTGGCTTTCGCCATCGTCGTATAGCGCAATAATTTGTTCCCTGTCGTCGGCCACGTCTCTGAGACGGTCGTCGGGATCCAGGATACCACCATCGCTCTGCGACTGTAAGCTGTGCACAGTCACCCAAGAATTCTGGCTCTGGAAGAAAAAACAACACCAAACTTGTTATTATACGCCACTGATATTATACAGTATAATTAAAAAGTTAAGCTACACACCATGGAAGAGAGGAATTTTGGTTTTAGTTCGCTTAAGGCCGTTTGCACTAACTATACTGAAATTTCAAGTAGAGTTTAACATATATAGTTTCAGTATTGTTAAACTACCCTTAAAATTTTAAGCATAGTTATTGCAAACAACTGTTTCGTAGTTTTATTTCAAATGAAGTTGATTTAGATAGACAAGAGAGCACAGGCTTAGTCTTGTACTTTAATACGAAGAAAATTCTTAATATTAACAAATACCTATTCCCAAACTTTTTTCTATGTCTATGGCTAGAATAGCTTTGTTTTTCTAATACGCACGTTTCTATTAATGTATGAAATGGTCTCTTCAATTCAGATTCGACGCCATTGCTGTTGTTTTCCAAAATACAAAAATGGCATCATACTCAATGACAATTGCTTGTGGGAAATGGTGTAGGTCTGGGAAGTGTCAGGTGTGCTGAGTAATGAAAGGGTGCCGTTAAAGGGAGGGGGTGTAGGTAAAATGTATAAACACCTGTAACGAGACTGGCGATGTACATAAAGTATGTGATGGCTATAAATTAGATATAATTATAAGGAACCCGTAAAAAGCTATGTATGTGGTAATAAACGATACGAAGAAGGTATTATCGTCGTCCATCGTTGTTCGATAAACGTGTAGGCCAAGCCGTAACTACGTATACCACATCCGCGTTCTTTCCTTTTTTTTCCACTGGGAAATTCTCTCAAGTTTTCATCGTTACTCGATAAACTATACATTATACAATATATAAAAATGCACACACGCAACCGCAAACGTATCGGATGTGATTCAAAACCAAAAATAGTCAGAGAGTTGTAATCGACTGCAATTTACACTGCACCGTGATCATGATCTACATTTTGTCATTTTGTGTAATACCTTAGTACCTATGTTTACTCTTAGAATTCATTTCTCATTCGGCGCATTGGCCTACGATCGTTTTTGACGCGCTGCCATATAATCGATCTAACGACCGTACAGCAGTTCTATTATGCCCAGTGCTCGCCTCCACTCAATTTACCAACCGGTGCGCCGGCCACTAAGTAGCACTTGATATAAACATCATTTTATCATAATAAAAACCCGTGGTCGACGCATTGACCCTAACAGAGAAAGAAACGGTAACTAGGTAAAGTATTAATAGCGTTTTTTTAAATTTTTTTTCTCTTATAAATTTATAAATAAGTCGGCCGATTAATATTCAACTGGTTTATCGTCGAGATCACCGAGTAAAAAAGAAGAAGACGAAATACGGTCACATATGCACGGTACCTAATGCATATTATTCATAGCATAATATCATGCATACCATACATTTTTGTAAGCAAATACATCGATACATATATTACATTAATATACATTTGATAAAACGTCCAAAACACTCGTGTGTAAAAATTATCTGTAGATCTCTTTTGAATATTATTTATTACTATTAAATCTTACTACCGTTCAATTTATTTGCTTGTCCTAGTCGACCTGTGGCAACCCATGGTACAAAAGTATGTTTAAAAGTACACACAAAACGCACACAAGTATCGTGTTTAGGCGTCATTAACTAGAGTCTTTCTAAAAGCATCAAATAAAACAAGCGATTTTTATTATATTATTTTTACAACAGGAAAGCAAAATAAAAATAACATTTCAATATCCTGTTATAAAAATTATTGGTTAAAACCATTAGTTTTTTTATATATTAAAACCTTTTAAAATAACATAAGTAAATTAATGTAAATAATACAGATTGATTATGGGTTTATTGACAGAATAAGTTTTTTAGTTTGAAACTTGTTTCTGGAGAAAAAACGCCAGTATTCGCCTACTAAAAGCGATTACTAAAATCCGCTATTCTAAACTAACATCGATTAGTATAAATTTCTTTAGAAATCATTTTCAAATAATGGGCTTGTACTAAGACAAACGTACAAACCGTTGATATAAACATCATCTTATTGATTACATACATTAATAATATACACGGTACCACTACAGAAATAATTTTAAAAAAACACAAAATGAATAAAAAAGTTTCAATTCATTCGTTTTTGGGTTAGGAATTACTGAACGAGTTTTACAAAGCTGTATTTATTATTGTAAGTTTAATATTATTATTATTATTTTGTGTGTTGTAATAAACTATAATCATTATACTATCATTGGTGTTTTTTGGTCGTATTTAAAATCAATGTTAATCAGCTCTGACCCAGAGGAAACGTTTTAATATCATTTCTTTAAAAAATTAGCATAAGGAGTGTAAACAAACAACGCAATAACTCAAATCTCAATACGTTTAGTGTATTATTATTACTATACATATAAATATATATGTGTGTGTGTGTGTGTGTGCATATAAATATATATATATATATATATTGTAATTCAAACATTTTTACCGCCATCAATAGAAGCGATTGGAATAAACGTTATGTGAAATTCCTCCGTCGTTATGCTGTTTAGGCACACAATATATTATATCCGTGCACTTCGCAGTCAGCGTTAAAAGCTATTCCATTAGCATACCTACACCGATGAATTGAATAAAAATCATAACTTATTGTGCACAACATACAGGTACACACGGGCCGTATCATGAGAACAAGAATTATTAAAAAAGCAGCACTGTTTTTCCCCTGGAGCACACATACACACAGAAATGGCTGCTTCTCATACACACCTACATGGATAAATTGCATACTATGATATAATTGACAGACGGTATACACAGCTGTCTTGCACTTTGAACTTCACATAGGGCCAACGAGAAAAGACTTAACACACAGGTGCATACACAACAATATACATAATTATATAGGTAATATTTTCTCTGGTGCTTAAACGCGTGCATATCTACTATGTGCGTATTATATTATAGATAGTTACTTTCTGTAAAGTATACGGTTTAAACATTTCTAACTGACTTTTTTTTTTTTTTTTTCGTTGACCACTTTATGCAACTGATTGTTCCCACAGTCCTTACCAGTAGGTACCACAGCGAGGTACATATACCTACATAATATCATATACGCCTTCCGAAACGATAATTCCATAGAAACAATAAAGTGATTTATGGGAAGGCAAATGTCGTCTCATTTGTAGTCTTGGAAGACGTTGCGAATATTACCCAACGCCCTTCTCTTTTCGGCTACACACAAAAGTATCGACAATACTTACAATAAGTTTCTTTCAAATGTTATTTCCCATGATTATGACTATTTTTTTTTCTACGACAGACAACTATTGGACATTTGTTATAAATGTAAAGAAATCATTAACCGTCGAAAGTGTGTCTTTCATAAATAATTAACGACCGGAAATTACCACATTACACTTAAGGTTAAATCGTATCAACTATCTGTAACGCGTACAATAAAAAAACATAGTTTTATTATTAAATATTAACCCATACAAAGGTGTAATTGAATTTCAAGGGTCTAAAGCAAAATAATTACTATTAGCTCATTTAAAAAATACTGCACTGCAGTAGCAATTAATAATTCTACTTTTATTTTAACATGCGATTTAAATGTAATTATAATAAAAATATTCAACGTTACCGCTTACAGCCGTTTGAGACTGGTTGTAAGAGAATAATTTTTAAATTTCCGGTTCTCACGAGTTATCATTATTTCATTTTTTATTGTTATTAACTATAGTGTAACAAACAAAAAATAGTTACACGCCCTCGACTAAGATCACAATAATTAGATGGTTTGGCGTAAAAAGACAGTAGGATACATTCTTAAGAGTTTAGAATTTAAGATTTTATTAACTACAAGTACATATATGTGGTTATAACAAAAATTTATTCATTATAATAAAATTACATTTTAAAAAAAACAGAAGAGAGATTGAAGCCCCAGTTGTCTCTGTATAGTATCAATAGGACCATTTTAAAGGGGTAGATGAAAGAGAGTGCATGAAAGAATTAAAAACTGTATGTTAGGCACAACAATAATAATTACTGCAACTAACACTCGACAATTTCTATTGCAAGTATGAGTCTAAGAATTCAATGCATGATGTACACTGGTTATGTTATGTATAGAACATTTGCTCTACTTTAAACTGAAAACATTTGATTTTAATGTAATGCGCTCATGCATACACTCAAGGGAAAAGTAACGGAACACTTTCCAATAATTTTTTTTCAAAGGCCACTTAAGTAGCTTAAGTGGGTTACGTTATACTAAGCTTAAAAAAACGATCAACACTAATTTCCTACTACCTTGCCGGCGGACGATAACTGATTGAGCTGTTGGATCTTCTGGACCTGGTAGGTTTTCTTGCGGCCAAACACTTGTGCGATTTTTTCGATAACCGTTGCACTCCGTTTACCGCAGTTGCAATTGTTGTGAGACGACGAGCTGCAGTTTTCCAACATGGCGATGGTGCACTGACATTTTTCGGGATGGGCCAACGTCAAAAAGCCCAACCCGACGGTAGATTAGAGCCGATTCGACGGCCTAGCATTGTCAAAACTAAAATTGCACGCGCCGGCAAAAGACTTAATACCAAGATCAGAGTACAGCTGGCCTAAACACGTTAACACATAACACATATAAGACAACAATGCGGTACGCAAAACTACACTGCAGAAGTAGAGTGCACAAACCGCAGTGTGGAACTGCGTGGAAATAACAAGCAGATCTCGTTTCAATGATAATAGGTTTCGTTTCGGAAAAGCGAACGGACCACCTCAGATGACCTACACATAACCATTTTCTACTTTAACCTAAATTTATTTACAAATTACATCAAAGTGTAATACAATGCGTTTTTAAGACAATATGAAATATCTTTTTTTATTAAGTGCGCGTAAAGGTCAAACGCGGCCGTTGATCGCAATAAATTAAAACAATGACGAAATATAAACACCTGCGAGATGCTTACAATAACTGAGAAAAAAGTGTATACGAAATAACAATACCGGTTAAATAGTATAGGTAAAAAAAATTAATTTGGAAACAAGTTATTTTGTTAATTTAATCATAATTTTAACTCGCCATATTGTATATTATATAGTTGGAATTTTGTTAATATTGTAAAAAAATTTAATTATTGTTTACAATAATTGTTTAGAAAACGGATATATTGATACCATATAAATAATATAAAAAAGGTTGCACTTATTATTAGAATTTAGATAAGTACGTTGTGCTATTAATAATTATAAACACTAATTTATAATCTATGACTGTGTTAATGTAACAGATAATGTAGCCTTATTATAATATGTTTTTAATCTATCCTAATCATTTTTTTAAATAATTTTTCTCCTAACACAAACGTGTATAAAACAAATACTTAACAACAACTTCTTATAGAAGTAGAAGAACTGAAAGGACCGCACGGTTGATTTGTAAACGACAATACCAAGATAAGGTTTACCGTCGAAAATGTGTAAGAAACGTGTTCTCTCACTTTCACATTAAATCAAATCGATGCTCACGTAAACGTAAAGATGACGCGTTGACTTGGTAAACAAAAAAGATATTCAATACGTTAGTATTTAACTGGCGTAACACAATATACATAAATATGAACCATAAATCAATACGTGCTAGTATCACATGTCCCTATATTATTATTATAATCATAACTAGATAGTCGAGTCAGTTTCGACCAAAATCCACATAACGTAGACGAAAATACAATCAAGTAATATTTAAATTTAGATATTTTTTGCTTGTTAAACAACAGTGGTGGCTTTAGAATTTAGACAAAAAACTTCTCGTTTAAAACTAAAAAAGAAGTCTAGAAATACCAGTTCAAGATATGACCTCTATTAGTAATATCTTGAATAAGCGATATGCATCGTAAAATATTTGCATTATAAAAATGATTTCAAACCAAGTACCTAGTTAAAATTCATTCTTTGAATGGTACACATTTCTAAATCATTCTATCGTAACAAAAAATATATCAGCTAATTAACTGTGTAAAGTGTAGACTAATAAGGCGAATATTATTTTTACAGTAAACATTATACAACCAAGACGTTAAACTTTATAACAAAAAAAATCATTAACAATTGTTTAGGATATGGTTACCCGAACGTAATGTACTTAATACGTATATTAAACTATACAATTCGAAAAATACATATTTATTAATCATGCCTTAAATTTCGTCTGAAACAACATAATTATACAACAATTTTAGCTTTTTATTGTGTGTGATGCATAACGATATAATTCAAGTACTTTATATTAATAACTTTAACTTGTCGTTTGTTTTTTCTGGAAAAGCGTTATCCTTTCAGAAATATTGACTGATGATAATTATTTGAAAGGCTAAAATGCGAGCGACAAAAATCTTGTGCATTGCTCATACAACACCTGTTTGGTACTGTAGAAAGAGAATCTACAATAAGTGCTGACAGACATGAGGCGGGTTTAGTCACAGCACGCCGGCTGTGTTTGTTTTAGAAACGTTTAATTTATTATTCGTTGAAATAGTTAAATCGAACGGTAAGCCTTAATACCTAAAAAATATCGTGTTCTGCTATTGTAACGTTCCTGTTAAAGAAACAAGCAACGTTATTTGTATTTACCGATAGCACAAGAGATTGAAGACCGCAAACGCGGTTAGAAAAGAAAATGTAACTGACATATCGACGATATTCGAAACCGATGTTTTTCACTGTTCTGGTAACGCATCAGTTATCTCTACTGGTTCCCGGTATAAATTACTATAGAACTTGAACGATGGCTAGTAAAAAACCAATAATTATCGAAACGTATTAATAAACTAATGAAAATTTAATATCAGTATAATGTATATAATACCTATTTATAGGACTAACAAAATACCACTTATTTTATACATACATATAATATCATAAATATTTAATTTAAACTTTCGGTTATATCCCGTTTCAATTAATAAAATTAATTTTTTTTTTTTAATTAATAAAATAAACTGATCCATTTTAGAATAAAATCGCTTAATAAAACTATAATAATCAAATATACATTTTTATGTACGTTTTACCTACAAGATAATTTCAAAATTCATATTTTTAAGGTGAAACCAAACGTTGTGAATAAATTATCTCAATTACATAAGATTCACACAATAAAAAAAATATATATATAATATACTTAAGTTATTTAGCAAAATACACGAATAGTTTATAACAATCACTAAATGCATGTTGCTACAAGAGAAACAAATGAAGTACTGTAAAACATATTACATTGTCAAAAATTAATCAATCTCCGCTACACAACTCTAACTTAAAAACATGCTATCTAGTGGGAAATCTTTTAATATTTTAACTATGGATTACTATTGTTTTTTTACGTTACATATATTGTTTCTATAATCAAGTTTTATACAACACGTCCTTGAGATAATAAACAATGTTGAAGGATTTACTTATAAATGTTACCTTGAGACTTGTCATAGAAGTCTATAAATAAAGAGGGTATGCCTGAAACATATATACAGTTTTCAAAACAACGATGACTATATCAACAACTCGACTGTTGATTGATTAGCGTTTTCTAGTTGATTTAATTCGCATAATCGGAAAATGTCTAGGTCTTATTAATTTTTGACTGACAGAAAAATAAACAGACGAAGTACCTACACACGAATGTCAGTCTAAGCACTATAAAACGACTTTAAGAAAATATTTCGTTTGGCTCGAGTATATTAATTGATTAAAAACCTCGTAGAAAAAAAAACATTAGAGAGACTTTGTAGTTTTTATATTTTTTGAAATGTACTAGTCCGATCGAATAAACGTAATCGCCGAATATAATTAATCCGAATTAACTCATAACACAATTAAATTACATTGACGTCAAGGCTGTGATGTACAACAATAACAAATGACGGTATTGTCGTTACAAATACATCGTATTAATCGTTATATAAAGAATACTCACGGTAAACTAACGCATTGTTATCTGTGCACTTCTAATTAAAATAAAACTGTTAAGCAATCATTACAACAGTTGACAGCCGTAGCTAATTAGGAGTGATAAACATATCAGGATTAAACAATGTATGAAATATTATGTTTCGTCAATTTGTGTACAGCTAACCTACTGTACTAAATGAAAGAATAGTACCTACAAACAGAAAATACTGGAATGTCATCACCCAAAACGATTACAAGCAGCACAATATATTTATATATATATATAAAGCATCATCATCATATATATATATATATATACAGTATAATATATAAGCAGTCAACAATATTAATGTCTGGACCGATTAATGAAATTTCACTAGACTAGAAATCATTTGAATAATTCATTTTCTGTTTTTAAAAAAACAATTTTAGAAAGACCCGGTTAAAATAATGTTAACCTTGGAAGATTAAAAACAGTAACATAGACATATCTTTGAAGTTATATCGATTTAAAAAGATTATTTTGTTCGAGCTAGCATGGTATATAACGAACGTTAATTAGGTAGACTAGTAATCAATTATTTGAATTTACCGTCACGTTTTTTCTTGTCAAAAATTACCATAGAACTATATAAATAAACATTAAACACAAAAGATAATTTCATCACTAAAAACTATAGCGATGGTAAGCCACAATACAAAAACAGTAGATCCGAATTATTGGCTACACTGTTATCCAAACAATAATAAGGTTCATTGGACATGTTTTTAAGGTCTACTGGCCGAAGATGGTCGTTTCACTTTTGTTACATTAATTGTGCTCGCTATACTGTACGTGAAATCAGAAAGTGATTAGAAGAGTAATTAAAATGAACATTTAAAAAATATTTTTACGGCAAAGGATCGACAAGCATAATGAAATACGTGAAGATAATGTTCTCACGGCAATTAAAATTATACGGATTAGTGCAATCAAAAGTTAAAATTACCTGTGGCTACTGATTGTTATCAAAATTAACATGGTCGGTATTATACTATGCGTTCAAACAAGAATTGAACATAATAATATGATGCCGGTAGATGATATGTGTACACACGAAAAAAAGGCGTGAGAAAATAAAAAATTGCAAAAATTATTGTTAAATTTTGTATTTATCTAGAAAGTGTCATTACGCTTTGTCCATTTAACCAGAATTATTTTCTTAGAAACGCTGCAAAATGTATTTTGGAAAACAGAATGTCACGGTCCATTGATTAACTATTTAATGCGTTCAATATCACTTTAAGTACCAAAATTAAAAATATTTTTAGATTCTATCATACGTTTTCTTTCCATTCTTAAAAATATATATATAATACGATTATCATGCGATTTAAAATAATCCTTAAATATCAATATAATATTAACACGACGGTGTTATTAAATAAATAACACGACGGGTACATTTTGTAAACTAAGATAACTAAGCTTTGATTAATTTTAAAGACGTCTTTTTATGCAGCAATGGAATGGCTGCATAATTTTGAAAATTATCACTTTAAGAGGTAAAATGTCAAATTTATGATTTGATTATGAACGGTCGGCGCTTTCTTAAGCAGCTCTATCTGGTAATCATATCAGTACAAAATACTATGATATTAAACATACTGTTTTATGGAGATAGGGGACCCTAAATGGAGTTATCTCTTACTCGAATTTTCGTCTACCCTCTCAATGCAATGCTCAGTCCATAGGTCAACAAGTTATAATGTTATGTAGTTATTGCCTAAGGCTTGGTGAATTCAAAAAAATAAGGTCTTGTTCTATCTTACGCCGCCTTCAAGTAATTTAACGATAAACAATGTGGTAAACATATAATTGTGCACTTTGGCTTGAATAACGAATACATAGTGTGACCAACTCAAATATTTTTATTCACACTAGATCGTAATTCATAAATGAAAAGTAATTTTGTATTTAACGTCTAACTTTATAATATTATGACTAATACACATTATTTTTACAGCTTAATTTTAATAATATGAAAAAAGGTTATAATTGTCTTGTTATACACTTTAGTTACACGAAACAATTTTATTAAGCAGACAAAATGTTTTATGTATACATCAATTAGAAAAATGTAATATTAGTATTAACTATTATTAAATGTATTAATACTAAAAATTAAAACGATTAAATATGGCTCTTACCAAAAAAATCTAATTAAAACATTTTCCAAACCTAAGCACATAGTCTGAATACTCTTTGACTCCTAAAAAACTATCAAAGCTTAGGTAATTTACAATATTTTTTATTTATAAATTTATATTTTTTACACTAACAGAGAAATTGGACAAACTGTAGGCGGCACTCTACGAAAAATGTGTTAAGATAATAATGTATATAGCTTAAAAAATCCTGACTTAACGCATAAGGCAATATCAAGTGACAGGACCTGAACCCACTGTACACCGTTTGTAGTCAATAACGATCCAATGGACTTTTATTCATTTTCGAAAAACCGCCTACCGTCGGTTATTGCGTATAATATTTTCTATACGACACCAGTTTTCTTTTATACCGATCAATAAACATTGCATGTTTACGACCTTAGCTAATTCCCGATAATTAGTATAAGTGTTATAAAAATAACAACAATAAACAAACAACTCCAGTTTTTCTACGCGTGCGCGTGAGCACACACATTAAGGTGCTCGCAACTCGAGCAGAACATAAAAAAACATTTATATGACATTTTCGCGAAGATAACAATATTTGATTGACAACCGATTCAAAGACGATTATTAGATAATTGTTATTTGTTATTACTTTGCATTTTGTGTTTTCGTTACTCGATCACATACAAGATGCCATTCACCACGAGTTGTGTATAATTATTAGAACTCTTTTATTTTAATTCTACAATCAATATACCCATAGGGTGAAATAAATAAATTGAAACATCAAAGTGAAATCGGCACCGGATTTTCAATTGAAGTGTGCATTGGAGTAATTAAAATCGTAGTATACTTTTTAATTCAATTATCATATTTCAACCAAGTTTTTTGTTTTTTATGTCGATTTTCGTTTCGAATTGTTATTGTTGTACACTGAGGTGTACGACTGTCTGTTGGATAATTATTTCTGAACTGCATTGTTTTTAGAAAAAAATAAATGTCTTTTAATAACTGAAGCCGAACAATTAAATTAATAACTATTACAAAGCCACGCGCAACAGTGCGCTGTACAATTAATGGAAAATATTTTGTTTTACACTACTTACTATTGCGGGTAATTAAATCGATTTAACCGGTATTTGAAATTCTGGGGCGGTACGTGCATTGCATATAATTATTTCGTTAAATTACTCAAATGAATAATTATGCAAGAGTACAACGCACGTTCGGTTGCATATAAATACGGTCAAGTCACCCAGTATATGTGATTATTAGCAAAATACTAAATTTTTTCCAACCGCCGTACAAAACACAAACCGTAAAAACGATTGATTTATTATAGCTTTGCTGTCGACTTTTATTTGCTCTATAGTCGAGAACACACGCCTGAACCAACGTTGGCGTCACTAAAGTAATAGTCAAAAAGATTTTTTAAACTCGAAGAACACTTGGACGGAGCAAAAACACACTCAAAAAGTAGAAATCAAAAACAATGTACTCAAGTTGCGACCGACCATATAGCGTTTAGTTCGATGACGTTGTTTAGCAACAAAAACGAAATCAAAGGGCGATAGTCCGACATTGATCTCGAGCAGTCCGTTCAGAATTTCCGTTTTTCGAATAATCTAGTTGAAGATAAGACATTAAGAGGAATAAGTACTGTTAAAAGCAGCAAATGTGACCCAGATTTGAAGGCATTTACAATTCCCGTCCACGAGAATCGGACAAGCTCTTCCGAGTTTAAACCCGCCACGGACTATTAGACTATTATTATTACTATTATTGTTATATCTAACAGCGCACTATAGATTTAAAAACGGTTTTAATTTTTTTTTTTTTTTTAACACACAATACAAGAAATTTAAAGGCGAACGAACGCGGTACGACCGGGGAAACGACGTCGGCAACGTGTCACGCACTAGACAACACTAAAACGCGAGTGGCATCGCATACATATAGGCGGCATGCACACGCGGTTATACAGCTGTTCGAGGCAAATATAATAGCATTACATTACCTACGTTTTCATTAAATCATTAATACGCACCATCATTCGTGTACAGTGTAATAGTGTCAATATGAGGTTTGAGTGTCGTTGTACTATATACCTATCTGCTATCGTTATTGCATAGGTCGAATCGCTTGCAAAAGCCCAATAAATGACTGTTAAGATCAGTAGATTGTTAAAAAAAAAAATTACCCATACAAAAAACAAGCTCTCAACGTGAATAGAATTGCTCGGGTGCGTTCGGAAGGTCGACGGACAACAAAAAATGGAGTTATTTGACCAAAAAATCTGGTTAAAAAAATGACATTTGGACCAGAACCGTTGGATAGGGATAATTGCACGGGATTTAAAAACAATGCTATTGAACAGACTCGTGTAGCAACGATGGTTCTTTGAAAATTATGGAAATTATGTATACTTATTAGTCAAGCCATGGTAATTATTTATTTAACCACATCATCGCATCACAGCGCCCTTGGCAACACATTAAAGATGTTTCTAACCTAAACATAGCTACACAGAAAGTGTTAGATGAGTTTGATGATGGTTTTAGAACGAAAATACCTACTATTAAATCGAAAAATTAGGACAACTTTTTCCCTTTTTAGTACACTTTGTATTTAGCTTAATAGTTTTTGTTTAGTATTGAATTTTTTAATTTGTTTAAATAGTGATAACTTTAGTTCTCAGGAAAAACATTTAAAAATGTATTCGTTGTCTCGAAAATGTAAATTTCTTTCATTTTTATCTAAAGTGTGTTTCCTCTAAACACATCATTGCCCGAATAAAACGCATACTGCGTAATTAGGTTTTAACGCTAGGAAATCGAGGGTATATATCTAACGTCCTTTATAACAAATGTTTTAACAATTAGTTGTTTTTTAACAATTAGTGAGATTATTTTATGAATATGAGTATGCTTATATATTGCATATATTGGCAAACACGTTTTTATAAAAAGTTAATTTTTAACAAAAAAAATATAGTATAGAACAATTTATAAGTGATTTTAACTAGTATTATAGATCTAAAGGTATACAATAAGCAAAAAAACAAATGAAAAATGAACACTGAACAGGTATTTCTTGTTTTGACTAACACGTCATTAAGTTAAGAAAACAGTCTAACTAGATCTAGTATTCTTAACAATATACTATTAAACGATTGTCAATAACCTAGAACTAAAACTTTCTCAAAACCCTATATGATGTTATAGAGATATACATCAAAATAAACATAATACTTAGCCACAAAGAATTTTGTACAATCCTCATTTAATAAGAGCTATGTCGACAACAAATCGTTTTAAGTAATAGGGTAGTATACATGGTTACAATCAACAACCGAAATATAGAATTCTAAGTTGATGGTAATTCTGTACTGCCTATAAAATAAGTTATTAAGTCAAAATAGTCTTTCAAGTCAAGGCAAGTTAATGAAGTTTATCGATTACAATTTTTATCGACATCAAATAAATTAAGAAAAACAATATTATAATAACAAATTTAGCACAGAGTAACACAGTAACAATAACTCTTACGAAATGTCTACATGTTAATATTGAAATATTATGAGTCATGTCATAACATTTTCAAATTATTTATAGATAAAATAATTATAAACCAAATAATGGACAGAAAAAAACAATGACTTTTAATTGGACGCAAGCAAAAACTTTATATAACATAATTGTCAACAGCCAATTATTCGAATCTTAATATCTTTTATTTTGGCTTAATTGGAATCGACATTAATTGGAATTAGCTAGGAACCAATAATACAGGAATTGAATTTACTTGTAAACGATAGATTTTACCTTTCCAAAAATAGCAGTTTCAACTTTAAAAAATTTTTTTTAACGCCCCTTGTTATTATGCAAATTACTAACAATGAAATAATCAATATTAAAATGATTTATAATAGAAAAACAATATTTTAATTAACTTGTCTTACATACGTATCGTCGTATCACACCACAAGATGTATTACATACAATAATATCGTAGTTTATGATATAAGATATAAGTATAAGAAAATGACATTAAAATTCGAGCATGATGAAGTTAATATTACTTGTTTATAGTTATAAGGTATAAAACCCCGAAGCTGTTGAACCTATCAGTTTCCATCCCAATATTTAACGTATAATCGAACAATAGTTGGGAATATTTTGATTGCGCCTGCGTTTTAGTTTTTCACAACACATACGACTACACGTTATGTTGCCTACTCGTTAACATTTAAGGAGCTCGGCGTTATCGAATTTGCAACCTATTGCCAACTGGTAAATTAATATTATTAAATGTACATCGAAAACACAGGGATAAGCATGATCGGTAGTACAGCTAGTGTTTGCGTAATACAACGAGTTTTTCAAATGCATTGTACTACTGTTTATTAGACTATGCGTATTAAATTAACATATCAATGACTAATCGTTAGATTAAAATCTAGTTAATCCGGATTCGATAACACTGTTTCTTATAATATAATATATTATATATATATGTGTTTAAGTGTAAAAAAACAATAGGTAATAGTTAATATACGTACATATATTATTTTACATGTACGTATTCAAACTACCAGTTTCCAAAGTCATGCGCCACAATTGATTAGATAATAAAATATAGATTTTCTTAAATTGTATCTCTTATTAATACGGATGTTTTAACTAGCCGTTCGATAAGGAGATCTCACAGACGGACTTAAGAAACATCTATCGAGTACAAAAAAAAAAATAAAGAAGCTAAAATACATATAGTGTGTGTAATAAGGGTTCTATAAAACTAGGTAGAGGTTTGTGAAATAGCCAAAAATCGGATTCACAGGTCCTAAAAATCTAAGAATGCCAAATCGCAGTGACATTCAGCATGAGTTTAAATGTTCAGTAATAGTGTCACTCTAACACAAATAATGGCGCTGTATTATCCACTACTGTCCATTAAAATTCAATTAACCATTAAAATTATTGATTTTTTGTATAAACGAGCATTGGGAATGTTGAGTGGCAGAGAAAGATTTGAAGTACAGAGATAGCTGAAAGCAGTGGGTAGTCGTGGAAATAAATCTAAATAACCTGTTGAAAGCCAATGTAAAAAAAATCGTCTAATTATAGCGTTTAACCGCTGAAAGATTAGTTACAGCCGGGAACTGTTGTATACTTAATCGCGACTGTAACTAACGAATCCAAATCTATCTAATCGTATAATAACCCGTTTGCAGTTCTTCGTAAAAACCTAACGACTCGACGACAACGGTATTTAAAAAATAATTAATGAAATTCCCGTATACATATAAAGTGCACGTGTTATACGATATTGTGTAAGATCTTGTCTTAATTTTGAAGCCAGAATTTTACCGTTGGTAAGCATGTGCAATGTACATCGTCTGTGTTATCAATAACCTGTAATATTCGAAATTGTATAGTGTAGATTGAATTAAGTAAAAAGAACGTATTTTCAAAGTGCCCGAACAAAAAAACAAGGGAAAATAATATGTTAAATTACTTCTGAAATTATAGAGAAAATACATGTGAACATTTTTTACATACTGTATTATATTCAAACGGAACACTACAAGAGATGGAATTCTTAGTCGACATAAAATTAATGTTATGACTCGTTGTTTGGACTTGTTTTTTTTTTCTTTTTTGTGTTTACCGCGACCAGTAAAAAACATGACCTCGTCGATTGTTTTCATTCATTACCCCCGTAACGGCTCTGCTCCAACTAATATACCAACAACCACTACCACGGACCGCCAACAGAGTCTACCACTATATACTAATGTATGTATCCATCTGTTTGGAGAGCAGGTGCATTTCGCTGTCGGAAGTAACCGGTCTTAGGGTTTTCTTTTTGTGTGTAACACTCATATAATTGGGTTTTGCTACGCGCCGCCACGATGCCAGTCGATAGTAACCGTTGGTTTTCTGTGTACTATAGCAAGTTATAAACACCTAACCTTTACCGGAGACGCTTTCATTTTTTTTGAGCATACAACGCAATGACGGGAAGAAAACTATAATAAAAGAAAAAAAGAAATGTCTTGTTCGAGACAATATTAACAACAAAAAAAAAAAACGGATTTTTTTTTGTACCGTGTAATAATATCGACAAAAGCACATACCGTTTCTCGGTGCAGTTTTTGTTTGTCCAGTTGATTTCAAAATATTATGATAAAATAAACAAGTTGACTAAATAACATGTAAACAAACCCTGTTTATGTTTTGTAGAATTGTCTTAGCTGACCGCAGTACACAAAAAAAAAAATCTCTGGTGGCTGTACGGAATGAATCTAATAGATTTGTTTAGGGGCAGTCTATAATCGCTCCCTTTCAATATCGTGTTAATCTATATTAGAATGTTTAGAATATACATAGGGAGAAGATGATGTAGAACTAATCGTACAGCATTGTGCCAAGCTGAAATCAAGTACACGATAGTGCATTGACTACGACTTTTACCTATTCATTCAACAAGGATTCATTGAATCGCTGAAAAATTATAACGGAGCATTATTAATTATTATGAACGACCGGACGGACCTATTTTCTATTAACGATAATGACAGCAAGAATGTTATAGTGATTTTTCTTGGCCATGCATTACACTGTATTTAATAACAATATATAAAAAAAAAATGATGGGTTAATGCGGCGAATGCAACAATCTCTTGGCGGTCGGGTCAATAATATTTTAGCATGAAATCGGTTACAGTTGACGAAATTAGCTGACCATATCAATACGCTATTAACGTTTCAAGGTCTGGTTTGATTCATAAATTCCTAAGCGAAAGGCGACAATCAAAAATACATTATCGTTTTGTAACGTCTGTTTTACGTTAACGTTAATGAGGGCAATTTGTCTCTATTTTTTTATTTTACATACAGACCTTCTATGT